ATAAGGATGGTTAGTTTTCAATGATTACAGTCAATAATTGTTTAATTGTTTTGATGAAAATAAAAAAAATTGTTATAGAACGCTTTGTAAGGTTAATAAGTTAGCAACAGATTATAATATGAATGAAATAAGATGACTAAAATGTTTTTGCTACACTAAACAAAGGTAATAGATGGGGTTAAATGAAACGAAATGATATTAGAAACGATTATGAATAAAATCATGAGAAGATGAGACATAATTTAAGGGAAAGGGATACACTTTCAAGTATGAATAATAATAATGATAATAACTGGAGACCATGGTAACGACAAGGATAAGACATACTTCTTTTGTACGTACATATCTAGCTTCAACTCATGGATGGCAAGAGCTTCTACTGTTTTAAGGAGTTAAGTAGAAAGAAATCTAGGTAGGTTTGGATGAATTGTACAAATGACCTTAAAATTAACCTGTAAATTGATAAAATGATTAGAGTCAATTAGATGTTAAAGTAAGGAACTTTCAACTACCTTCCCTCTACCCATTTAAAACGATACTGGGATATGTTTGTGTATCCAAGTTGAAAGCATGAGCTGTCTACATCCCATATACCTTGTTCCTCATGATTTTATTCATAATTTTTTCTAATATCACTTCATTTTTAACCACACCTATTATCAATGATTAGCGTAGCAAGAATATTTTAATCACCTTACTTCATTCATGGTACAATCCACTGCTAACTTATTAATTTTACAAGGCACATACACAATATTTTATTATTATTATTCACATTACATAATTATTATTGCAAACAACCTTTTATGCTATAATTCTAATAATTTATTCAGGAATCGATGGGAGAGACTGTCCTAGAAATTGAATACAACAAAATATAATCAGACATCGCAACAGGTGAAGGACACTTACATATTTTTCAGAAATGATTTTATTCAAAACTCACTATAACTGATAATTATAGACAAAGATGATTGATGGCTAGCGGTGGAATCCAGGACGCGCGTTTAGTCCTATTTGGGACTCGTTAACTAGATGTACCTGCATCTCAGAGTTGATGTTCACTCCACGACTCGAACCCAGTAACGTTGGCTTCAAATACCATCACGTTATTCAATTAGCTACTGAGTTCTGATAGCCACTTGGTTGTGCAATGGGGTGAAGTTTAAATTCATTTTGTATTGCTTGTTTGAATCCTCTCATTGATGTTTAGGAATGCAATTGATCAGTCTCTTATTGACATATGTGCATACTGTGCGTGTTGTCTCATTATTGCCTTAAGTCATAAGCCTTATAAGTAAAGATGGATGATGGCTAGCAGTAGAATCCAGGACGGTAAGTGGATAAAGCGATGACATTTGAAGTGAACAGTACTGGGTCCGAGTCGTGGAGCAAAAATCTTCTCTGAGATGCAGGTACATCCAACTGACTATTCCCAAATAGGATGAAACGCTCATCCTGGATTCCGCCTTTAGCAACTATCCATCTTTGTTCATAATGCTTGTGAATTAAGGCAATATCGAGACAATCCACACAGTATACACATATGCCAATAAGAGAGAGACTGATCAATTGCAGTCCTAAACATCAATGGGAGGATTCGAACAAGCAATACAAAGTGAATTTAAACTTCACCTCATTGCACAACCAAGTGGCTATCAGAACTCAGTAGCTAAGTGGATAACGTGATGGCATTTGAAGCTAACAGTCCTAAACATCACTAGAAAGATTCAAACAAACAATACCAACTGAATCTATAACTATTAATTGACTAACATTAATTTGTTCATAAGTAATTTGAAAATGATAAGAATAGTGAGTAGATTATAGATATGACAATGTATCATTCAGTCAGTTAGTGACGATGACAATCATTATAAAACAATTTTTTGATCATTCAAACAACTCAGTATTTGGTATAGTTCTCCCCTTATCCTTTTTATAATTCAATTTGCGAAAATAGATCTATTGTTGATATGTAATATATCCACTAAAACAATAGACAAACATCAACTTAAGTAATCATTCAAAGTTATTATGTAAACATAATGAAGTTATCTAGTACAATAATAGAATATTGGTCAATTAGAATAGAGAAAGGAAAACTATTTGATGATAAATTATATTCCTGAACTAATATTACAATAATAGTGTACTGTGATAAACAATTATCTCAGAGAAGATGAATACACTGAATCATTTTCAAAGAAATATAATACTTTTAATAATTGAGATAATGAGTCAGTTGAAGCTAGACCACCATGGAAAACCTGGAAGCACTGGACGGCCGTTTCCCCTTATTGTGGGACTCCTAGTCAGTGCGCATACACGACCCTGCCTCGCGGAATTCGAACCCAGGACCTAAGACGAAACGGCTTTCCTTCGGTGGTCTAGCTTCAAGTGACTCATGATCTCAACTATTGAAATTACTACAATCTCCGTAAAACCCATTCTGATACAAATATAATACTCAATATGTAAACGAAACGGAAGTTTATGAACCCCAAAAATAACTGACATTCAAAGGTGGTTGAACCATAAGTAAAAATAATCAAAAAATAAGCGGAATTCGAAAATCAAATTTTATTCTACGAAATCAATTCTATATGATGGGAATCTATATTCAGTAAGATGAACAAAAGTAGATAAGTACTGATTATATGTCACCTCCCATTATGAATATCAATTGACATGCACATCTAAAAGCATGTACATTTGAAAGACAGAAAAGATAGGCTTCTATTTAATTTGTTGAGCATATTACCAGGAATATCCGCCTTTTAGGACAAAACAGCATTTGTAGCTCGATAAGAAGACATCTGTTGTACAAAAGGTGTAATATTGACTTTATAAATGCATCTAAAGTCATTAACAGACCGTTCAATTTGATTTTATGAATTTTGGCCGAAGCCATAAACATTAGCTGGCTTAAACTTGACTTTATATAAAAAAAGTCAGTAATTAACCTTTGCCTGCCCTGGTCACAGTAGCAAAATTAGTATTTTGACCCTTTTTCTTCAATGGATTATATTCGTGACTTCCTAGGTCACTATTATAATGCTAAATAACATCGTAGATATTATTAGACTGTTATAAACAACCATAAAAACCTTGTTAAAATGGGATTCCTAACCTCTTTTACATTCTAAACGAACTGTTTGTTTATGATTAGTGCTTTTTGACATTTTTCTCAATTTTAAAATTGTATTAATAGTCAGTATCTAATTGTCGAGATGGTTGAATTTTAATGAAATCATGAATCGATTTGAGTCAGACAACCACTGAAGGCATGGAAGAACTGCATGTTAGTTTCATTCTGTTATGTGAGATGATAAGGCAATATTGCGGGTTTATTGAGGTTAGGCTTGTATAACAGTGAATACAGGCCCAGTTGTTTGTAGGTTAAACGTTCGAGCGCGAAACTGAAGAATCTAGGTTCAAGTCTCGCGTGCGAGACTTTGAGGTATTCTGTACTAGGACAAAGTGGCCGCCTAGTGCTTTCATGACTTTAATAATTGGAAATTACTAAACTTATTACATTGTATTAATCCGGAAAAAAGAAACAAGATACTCTGAATTAATAGTATTTCATGAATATTGTTGTTTTCGTTTTGCTTACGTATTACGCGTAGGTTATCTGCTAAATTTCATGATAAATGAAAAAAAAGGAACTTATTAGTAAGTAAACAGAATTCACTTGAAAACACAGAGGGTAATTATACAGTACTATGTTGATCAGCGTATTATCCGCTAGATATATTGTTCAGGAAAAACTACTGACTACCTGGATAGGTAAAATAGGATCAAACGCTCGAGAGTTAAGTTATTAGTATGGTAGTCCACTATGTCATATTTTCCAAACAGCTATAATAAACTTAGGGAGTAGTTTCGTTAGTATTCCTTTTCTTATTGCGTCTTTACAGGGATTTCGTACTCCTTATTGAACTAAATCTTTTAAGCTTGTTTGAATTTTAGGTAACTAATTACATGGCAAACTTTACTTTTTACTAAGACGACATGACTGGTCAAATTCAAATGTATTTAAAAGAAGGCGGGCTTTACATATGATACTGGATGACAATTGAACCAAACCACAATTTAAATGCAGTTGGAAATCTGAACCATTGCATTTTATTCTAGTGGTTTAGAGAAATGTGGTTTCCATGATAACTGAATGTCCTCGTTCTAATCCTTAACTAGCTCGTGGGTGTAGATTGAACTAAAAATGAGATAGTCAGTGCTTTCAATGATTCATTTCATAATTGAACTAATCTCCACAACTAACGTATCAAAACTTTCAATTTTTCAACCAACACTCAAATTACAGTGGTTACTAAACATCATGACCTGGTACAGTGAACATACTAAATAGTGGAAAAATGATACACCTTTACAATCGATCAAACATTCTTCTCATTTTAAAGTAAGTGACTGAACTTGTGAATAGAAAGTTATTTTATCATTATCAGAATTGAACATTACATAAAACAATAAAACCAGTTCAACAAATCAAAATGAAATAAGTAAGCAACAAACAAACAAACAAACAAACAAACAAAAGAGACATACACTTTACAAATCATTTATATTCTATTCTTTATATATAATTTACATCAAAATAATAAAGAAGAAAAAAAAGAAGTCATCTAACGAATAAACATAAATATACACTTATACTTAACATACATTGTATATCACATTAGAACTTCTTCATTGCTAATTATTCAATATAGACAAAACCACCGGTGTACAGTTTGAAAATTATAATAATAATTATTATTATTATATACATAGATATAAAGAATATGTACAATATAAAGGAATAGTAAGAACTTTGTACAAAATATACCCAACTACTATTTTCCATCTTATTGATTTTCGTATATATATATATATATATATATATATATATATATATATATTTCTTTTTTGTTTTTTAGGGGGGTGGGGGAAATAATCAAAATAAGTATGGTACAAGCAAAATGTCTACATCTGCATATATATATATATATATATATATATATATATAAATCGAGAGATTGCTTCGGTTGTTAACTGCAAAATACAACTCCATTCTGAAGGTGATTTATCTATTACGTAATCAAAATATATATGGTACAAGCAAAAAGTATATATATATATATATCCTATAGCAGATATATATTATATCCATCCATAGAAATGTAGAAACCACCATAAAGATTCATCAGTATGATTACCTTTAGGTTTTATTAAACTTTTATATTGTTTATATAAATCTATTGGATCAAATATAAAATGTATAAATAAATCATCCCGTGAAAAATAATTTAATAATTGAATATTATCTAATGAAATTTGTTTTAAATTATGAATAATTTCAATAGAAGAATCATTAGTAATATTTAATTGTTTAAAAATATTTTGGCGCGTACATTCATTTAAAAATGAAGGAATTTTAAATGTTTCAATATTATTATTATTATTATGATGATGATGATTGAATACAATTTTATTGATTTTTTTATGAATGGATTCTAATTTCCATGTTTGATAAAAATTTTTTTGTATTAAAATAGTTAAACCATCATGTAAATAATTACGAAATTTAATAAATTCACTTTGATGTTTTATAGATATAGAATGTTTTTTATGTCTTGGTGTTTTATAACGTCCAATAAATTCTGGTGGTCTAGTTAATTTTAAATTATAAATTAAACCACGTGCTGAAAATTCATCATCTTCACTACCCCAACCCCAATGACGTGTTGGAAATCCATTGATCTATTGATTTGAAAAATAAAATAAAAAATTAAAAAAAGGGGGGGGGAGGGAAAGGAAAGATCACTTCAAACATAACGATAATTACTGATAATTAAAAGTATATTAAATACTGACTAGTTAATTAGTAACAATCAATGATCTATTTATTTAATTCTTAATGTTTCAATATACAGAAAGGGAGAATTAAGATTCTTTAATATAATATAGCATGCAACAATCAAAACACATTTGATGGAAAAGATTTGGAAGATATAAAAACTTTTACATATCTGGACAACATCATTGATGAATATGGTGGATCTGATACAGATGTGAAGGTATGGATTGGTAAAGAAAGAACAGCATATTTACAATTGAAGAACATTTGAAACTCAAAGCAATTGTCAATCAATACCAAAGTCAGAATTTTCAATAGAAATATCAAGAGAGTTTTATGGAAACTTTGAGAAATATGAAAGTCATCATCCAGAAACTACAAATTTTTATTAATAGTTATCGACACAAAATACTTTGGATCCGTTGGCCGGAAACTATCAGCAACAATCTACTGTGGGAGAGAGAACAAACCAGATTATGATGGAGGAAGAAATCAGGAAGAATCGACGGAAGTGAATAGGATACATATTGAGGAAAGCACCCGACTGCGTCACAAGACATGCCCTCACATGAAATCCTCAAGGCCAAAGGAGAAGTGGAAGACCAAAGAACACATTCCACCGAGAAACGGAGACAGATATGAGAAGGATGAACAAAAATTGGACAGAACTAGAAGGGAAGGTCCAGGATAGTGTGGGTTGGAGAATACTGGTCGGCGGCTTATGCTCCATTGGGAATAACAGGCGTAAGTAAATAAGCGAGTAAGTAATGTTGATTATATTCGATCAGTCAAGTTTTGTTATGATCAAACTAACTTGACTTCTAAGTGAATTAAATTAGATCTTGGAACTTCTCTCAACTATTTACAAATAAACCAAAATGATTTTGTTTGAAGGTGATCAATTATTGTTTTTTATCGAAAAACAGAGGACAGCTGAATCTTTTTGAGCAGAGGTGTATAGCGGTTAGTAGTGGAATCCAGGTCGTGTATTTTGTTTTATTTTGGATTTGTTGGTTGGGCACACCTGCATCATAGAACTGATATTCACAATGAAACTCTAATTCAGCACCGTTCGCTTTAAATTGCTTACGTAATCCATATATCTACAGACACCAGATAGTTACTGGATCTCACTGCAACTCACTGTCGAGGTAATCTACACAAGACTCACATATTCCAAGAGAGACTGATCAGTTATAATCCTAAACAATAATAGGAAGATCCCAACAATCAGTATATATGGCTTATTTCACCTAACTAATGATATGTACGCACTAAAACTTCAATTACCACTAAATGATTAAAAGGTTGATTTCCAGTGAGTTAAAGAAAACATTCATAAAGGCCAATAAACAAATCATCATCTTCACACATGTCATATTGGAGAAAGTTTTTGTGTTTATTTCCAGCATCAAACATATAATGAGTATAATTTAACGGATACATTAAATTTGAATTTCCCCTGATAAAAGGTAAAACACGAATCGGTAATAGTCGAAGTTTTCATATTTCTCAATATCATTAAAAATAGTACTTATATAAAAAAGCATTGGGTAAAAGAAATCGAATATACATTACAGTAAATTTATATAATATAAGCTTAATGATTAATGTTCAGTGAAGAGAACGAGAACACAAGTGGGGACAATCGAATGTACTCAAACACAAAATTACGGAATCTCTCAGTAAAATCTGAGAACCATACAATGAATACTTCATTTACAAAATGTCAGTCATTTGTCTCAGACTTCACTGTTCTTTCGTTTGCACACCAATCATTCTTTGTTCTCTTTCTCTTTTCTTTGATCTTCTTAACCTTCTCCCTCCAGGCATTTCACTTTTGACTGATGGTGCATACTACTTATGACTGTCGACATCAGTAGCACACATCACAGTTGTCAGAGTCAACATTTTTGAGAATACATGATTAACTTAATAAATAACAGCTTAAGAATTTATAAAAGAATTTAGTCAATTTACGCTATTAAACATTAAATTCCTACTTAAGGATATTATATTATGATACAGCGGATTTGTATGCTTAAATATGAGCTCTGATGAAATTCGTTTACGGTAACTCCTGCTCTGTCAAATTAATTACCTTTTCAAAGATAATTGTCAGACTTTTTACTGGATACCAAATGTATATCAGCTAAGCTAAGTATTAACATTGAAGATGAAATAGAAAGATTACTGAGTGCTACGAATGTAAACAACTGTAAAATGGAATATATAGTTATTGTGTCTAAAAACAACAACGTGGTAAATTGATATTAGAGAAGAACTATACTGACAATTGTACTCCAATTAGCAATTTTTGTAATAGTACATTTTTGTAAAATTTCAAGTGGTGCACGACAAGATAGTTTCATTCAACATATCTAGAAGTTATTTAGAAGATATATAGAGAAACTAAACAATCACTAACTAAGAACTTATCTCTTGCATTTGAATTACCCTTTCACATTTATTAGGCATCATATATTATGCCTTAACTTTAAAGACTTCATAAATAAACCAACCTATAATAGTCTTAACACTGAACCAGTTTTCATTTCGTTGATTAATTAAAAGACAAGAAACTGTTACAGACATTGTAAATGAATTCCTTATTTAGTTCTTAAAAAGTACATCTACTTGAGGTGTTTTCCAAGAAAGTTAAAATCCATTTATTTGCATACTTTAGTAAAATATAATACTTGGGGATAGAAAGAAAATATTTTAGAATGTTTCCGAATTTTTATTACACTACATAACGTCTTTTTTTTCTCACCTTGAAAATATTCTCTTTAGACATAGCAGCAACACCTCCTGCACTGTTTACAAATGGTGGATGATATCGTAAGTCATCAACAGCAGGTGATAAATGTCTTAATTCTGTATCACAAATATAAAAATTTTCACTTTTTTCAGGTAAAAGATCAACATCATGAAAGATAAAACAATTAATATCTGGATCAATATCCAGTGCATGCAAAACTCCAACATTAAATAGTAGTCCACGATTGAAAGGAGTGGTTCCAGCCTTAGAAAAAAAATAATCAGTCAGTTCAAAAAACTAAAATATGTATGTATATAGCAAAACTAGATAAATTTCCTAGATAATAAGACCATTTTGAAAATAACTTAGAAATGAATACTATCCATCCGAAGATTTTATTAGTTACTAATGCACCTGGAATGATGAGGATACCAAGATATCAAAGTTTAGACACTAATACAGACCAGTCCCAGAGCAATATTTTTCATTTAAAGGGACTAAAGGTATCTTATTGTGGTGTTTGAATGAACTAATGATCCCTTTGCACTTGCTGAATGCTTGATTTTGAATTCCAAATGCAGTACATTTGTTTGTGTTTATCCAGTACTTCTTGATCCAGTTGCGTTATTTCTATGATTTTTAGTTCATGCTATAATTCAAATACTCCTAATTACCATACTTATGCATGTTAGTATTAAAACCCAGTGTTTTTACTGATTAAAAACATGTCGTCTGAGTATGAAAAATTAACAGGTGAATCACCCGATTGAACTAACTTCTTAAAATTGAAAGGTGTCATTTCTTTGGATACATCTGCGAAGAAATTGGATCAGAAGTGGGACGGTAGGCGACCCTGATAAAAACCCCCCTAAATTGGCGTCAAATGCAGAACCATTTGAAAGCTTCTGTACTTCTTTAGAACACCTTCCTGTGAAAAACACTGCCACAAAACCTCTCGTCAATGGAGTCCAATTCTGTCCCGAGGTTTGAGAACTTTGACAGTAGTTTAGCATCGGTAATTACATCCGTGATCTACAACCTGATGTTAAGCAAATATTTGTTGAGCACATTTGTTTCTAGGTCTGAAATCATCCTGATTATTCATGTTTTGCTTTTTACAAGAGTTGTTTTAGAATCAGATGGTTAAAGAGTATTATTTCAGACACTAAGTCAGTCAAAAGGTTTATTTTGTAATTGTGCTTAGAGCCATTTGGATACCATTCCAACCTTATCCAAGATAAACCATTTTTCTAAGATAGACTAGGCGCATGGCTAATTCTTCTCAAAACGAATCACTGAGTTTCATATTTTTTAATTATTCAGGAAGAAGAGATAGTTTTTGATCAAGCTTGGCGACACGATCCAATTCATTCCACAAAGTTGGACGTCTCTAGGTGGAACAATGAGCCTCCTTACACTTAAAATTTGTAGTTGCGAGGAATAAGCAGTAGTCATAACTTTTCATATATTACTCTGATACATGAAATACGCTATATTTAATCAGAAATTAGTGGTATCCATTTAAATGTAAGTGGCGTGCACGTAGTGACCAAATATTATATTTATCTGACTAATAGTGAGACTAATTACCATATGTTCTATTGCAAACCTTAGTATACATTCTGTACAGTGACTTATTAGTTATGAATGATCCACGAATTTCTGTCCTGTAAAGTTAGCCTGATATCTTTGAGAAAGATTCGATCAACACAATATTGGGGATTCAAGTAATTAGTGTTAAACCGTTATACTGTTCCATAAAACAACTGTCATCATCGAACGACAACGAAACAGGAATAGCTCGGGTCACTAGTAAATAAACTACTCAGCGACTACCTCAGTTCTACCAATTTTTTAAATTAAAGTGGTCTCAATTTCATAAGTATGTTAAACAGATGATGGAATGATAAGAATAAATCAAAACCTTTACAAACTATACTATCAACATAAACTCCTTACCTGCTCAATCACAAAAACATAATACGGCATATTTTGTCGTAGCAACAAAGCATGTAGTCTTGGCAATAACAACTTAAGGTGCTTTTCTCGTTCCCTATAGGGTATAATGACAGCTATTTTTTGTGAAGACACACATTGCGGTTTCCAACTCCCCTCACAAACATGCTGAGCTTCATATAACAAGTTAAGAAAATCTGTGGGAGTATCTGAACTATATTGGGTTAGATCAAGCTCTTCAGTTTTCGGGCAACAGACTAGTAAGTGATAAATTAACTGTTGCAAAAATACCTTTGCTTCCTGGTTGGCTACAGAGCTCCTTATCAGTAAGTTCATCAGGATGAGTGTAAACGACACGAGGTGGAAGATTCGGCAAACTGGCTATGATGAAGAAAACTGCTACCACCACGTATATCGTCATACATAACTTGCAGTGATAAAGTGAAAGACGTCTCATAAAACGATTCCCACGAATAAGAATCATAGTTTCCCTCACCAAGTTTCAGATAATGATAGGTATATCACTTTAACAAACGACATTGGTTTCGACCATTTTGAAGGTTCCTCAAATTGGTAGACGGATTGTGTGAACAGCGTTTTTAGGTTTTTAGGCAAATGGTTCGATAGCCACTTGATACTAATCAGCCTAATTGACTTGGAACTACAGTTGAGTTAAAATTAAAATAGGAGCACATTTTCGACTCACATGTAAAGTTCATTACATGTGAAACTGCTTGAAAATTGGGCGACATAGTAGAGAGAAGAAGTCAAGGTAAAAGGAAGAATATCTAAGCGAACATTGAGGCAGTCTAAAATGAAATGACCAAACACCGCGGTCATGACAAGTTACTCCGTTGTCATGTCATATTCAATATTCAATTGATTGAGTAAACACTAAGAAGACAAGTGAAGCATACTTGTGATGAGCTGATAAGTGCAAGCCAGTTTTTTGACTTCTTTTGTGCTACATAACAATTAGCGGTTTCCAGTGAAGTTGATCGATTGTAGTCTAGCATGTAGCGGTAAATCAATCCTCAAAGTAAAAAGCTGTGTAAGTCTTTGACATTGATTCTAACTTCATCAGTTTTACTGAGGACACCCCAGATAAGGGCACTCGACAACGAATTCATACCAGATTACAATTATGTACGCCGTTCTACTCATCCCTCTCAACAGCTAGCCAGGTTATATAGAGTGGTTCTCAACATTTCGATTACTCTCCAAATATATCTTCGAACTCATTCATCCCTGACTTATGATTCGGCCTAATTCGTATCTTGTGTTGTCAAACCCTCGATATTTGTGGGATCTTAATGGTGACGTCGAAATGACGGGTTACATCAAACGATGAACTGCAAGTTTGTTCCTTGTTGTGACATTATACATCCCTTTTCAATTTCACATATAGCGATATTATATTTTTACCCTTGGAGTTTTTGGTCTATTTATCCATTTTGTCTACATAACGTTGGAACAAGTACCTAAACTATTAAAAATGAGGAATCTTGCGCCTCCTATATTCATTCGTGCCATTCTGGCCTGATAATAATGATTCATCTTCCTTGGTCATAGCCCAGATTTCGAACCTTTCAAAGTAATCTTCAAAAGCTTCAGAATTTGAATGAATATCTAACTTTTCCATTACAGGCTCCTTCGCGACGCCAATATAATGTTTTGAATTATTTGAATTATAGCACGAACTAAGAGTCCCAGAAATAACGCAACTGAATTAAGAAGTGAGACACAAGCACAAACGAATGTATTGTATTTGGAATTCGAAATCGAGCATTCAACAAGTACAAAGGTATTATTAGTTCATTCAATCACCACATCGCTCCATCATGAAAATCAATCCTTTGTTTGAACTGTAAAAGAGGCTTGTGACTTCGTTTCGGCAAGGACACTAATTTTCATATGCTTTCTGTTATCGTGGCGATTCATTAGAAATTTATTGTGAGACGGATAAAAATATGTGTAATTTTAGCAGCGAATTTCAAAATCGCGGCAAAATACTGCAAAATAAGTAATATGATGTTATGACTTTACTCTGTTAATTGTTACGTGACAAAACCACCAATTAGGACATCAATTTATATGACATTTTTCTTGTGCTAAACCAATGATACATCAAAACAGTACTAGAAGCCATGCGTCAACTCTGAATCCTCATCGGCCCTTCACACCTAGCCCTGCCTGTTAAATCCAAAAGCAATCTCAGCCTCCACTGCATGGATAGTACATTTCAGACATACATAGTTTACATACAGGCAAATCAAACTGCATCGTACCGTAAAATAAAAAAGTAAGAATCATACAAGATCGACTGTGAGCGTGGGAAACTGTAACTAATAAATTGGGAATAAGCTAAGAATGGTAAATCGTATAACCATAGCCAATAGGTCAAATGGAAGCTTTTGATAGAAGGAATATGAATATACATATAATACAGTTACTTAATAGTTATCCAATAAGAATATATGTAATGATAATTCATAAATAATTCCTAGAAGTTACCATTCATTTATTATTCGTCCGGATATAAGATATAATCACGCTGAAGTCTAGTCTTCATGGCATTGTTCTATATCTTCCATTCTTATCAGCTTAGAAATTCCTAGGTTGTACAGTAGCAACGAAAAGAACACGATGTATCTAATGATTCTCGAGATCGATAGTGCGATGACCTGGTGGCAATTTATTCCGGATCTTAACGATACTTGCTTTCATCGGTGCAAGGTTTAGGCTCTCTCCAAACTAGTCACTCACACGAAAATATGTCCTGTCATTTAGAACTGTAATGAAACCATTTCCGTCCACTTCCTGGTATTTTTTAGAACGATTTGAGGTGCGGATCGGATTAAACGTTCTGGTATTCAGTGCATCGATTACTTAGCCATCTTCAAATATTGGGTAAGCGAGTGAAGTGCTTGTGTGAACTAATAGATTCTGAAACGCCATCCATAAAGTTGTAACTCGAGTGAATCAATTCTAGGGTGACAGCTGAAAATCCCTCGAAATTTACGACACAACAAACTCCTGATTTATAAAAAGATTTGTGATGCTATCCAACAGTAAATTATCTTTATCAGAACCTTTATCTGATAACATAGGTTCCTACTCAATAGTCTGTACGCTTAAAAAAATATTGTGGTGACTATAAAACGTCTCACATATTATGTAACGAAAGAAATACTCATAAAGTCCTTCCAAAGCGCTTTATCACATACTATTGACATTTCTTCTCCCTCTACTTTGTCTTGTACACCAACTACTGTGGAGTGCTCTAACAACTATCTTTTGCATTTTACATTCCTACTTGTCTCGGACTTATTACCTGTTTTAAGTCAAAATTTACCCTTGTTGTTAAATTTTGTCGTCATATAATACTCAGACTACTGACAGTGAGTTCATGTTTGAAAAAACTCAAATGTGCAGTGTGGTTTGGTCACTGATATTTGACATCCGACAGTCAGATGGAAACGACTGCTCCAACATTTGCAGTTAGATATTTGATTTTTTTTGTTTGGAATTCTCAGGCACGAAACACTTCTTTTCCAACCATTACACTATTTGGTGCCAAAAACACCGTTGACTACATGACACAAGCTGTATTGTATGAGTCACTTTGCACCTTCGATATAATTTTTTTCGCCCATCAACTGAGAACGGGTCGAATTAAACATATAGTTCGTGCATCGATCAATTTAATACAAGTGACTCTAAAAAGCTTTGTGCAGTATACGGAAGAATCATGCCAAATTATACTTTGCGTAGTTGATTGTCCTCAATCAGATCAACTATTGAAATTTCGGTCATTGTAGTTCTCAATTGAGCTGTTATTATCTACAGGCCAATACTAGTGAAGTGGATTATGAATTGTGTCACAAATGCGGTGCTGAATCAAGAAGAAATATAGCCAGTCATGCTGCAAGATATTTTCCCAGTACAGATAGAGGAAAAAATTATTGAACCTTTAGAAAGAGTTAACCACAGAAGACAAAAGAGAATATGAGTTCTGAAGCGCCCTCTGCTTCCGACTGTGATGACAAACTTTATGGGTATGTTCGTAGTTTTATTAGCCACTATCATGTTCCTAGAGACAAGCTGACTCCAGAAATACTAGAACGAAAGAAGACAGGGTTAGGTATGTCATCCCTAAATATGGGTCTTAATCTCCCAAAAGCAGAACAACGTAATATTGATGGCCGACCCACAAAGTATTGGAAGTTCATCTGGCGAAATATGACAGCCATCGACTTCTATTCCTAGTACATTATTGTAAAAGAAAGGCTTCAGATGCTATAGAAAAACGAATCATACTCCTACCATCGTCTGGTTATCGTAGACGGTACACCAAATAGCCCGGAGATTGTTGAGAAACTTGACAAAATGTAATAATGCAGAACACGATGACGCAAATGTCTCCTCTAAGCTAACAGTTAAATAAAGAGTTGTTCTATAGAATCTATGCAAATGATTTACTCAGTAGACTTTAATCTGGACCTTATAAAGTTAAGTAGGATAGCAGCCACTGGAGTTAATGATCGAAGGGATGAGATAGACAGATGTTTGATAATAGGTGATCGGCTATCCATAACTTCTGAGTTAACTCAGTAGTGCTGTAATAATACTCAGTAGATTTGAACGAATTGCTGCACGTAGTAAACGAGCTTTCAGCAAAGTAGCCAGTTGCACGCAGCAGCTGCTGTCTACTATGGATGTAAACAAGTTGAAATGTGTAAAATGGGGAAACGATCATGTGAGTGAAGATTATTCCTGATGCTATGATCTTGCGGTTAGCTATTAGTGGTCTAAAGTGATGTAAAAAAGGCTCTAGTTTCTCTGTTTTGGAAAGGGCCATAGAGGATAAAATTGTAATTCTTATTTGCGTATAATATCGCGATTTATCAGGAATAGCACCATCCACTGCCGCATAAATTTGTAAGACTTCAAAGTATTTGAGTGAGCAATTAAAAGCAAGTTATTGCAACTATATAGAGTCGCCAACAAAGAGCGTAGGTCTGAGTCTAATCCCTGTCTAGTCTAGGTAATTATCCACATCCCACTCTAATCACATTAGACACTTTAAGACTTTTAGGATCGTCATTAAAAGTGGGACGATTTACATAAAGCTGAAATAAGTTAATCAACTGACAAGCAAAGACTTTGAGGAAACCTATGTTTATACGTCGAGTAAACTGTTATAGTAAGAAACTCACAGCTTCATAAATCAAGAAGACCTGAGAAAGAGAACGTTTAGGACTGCTCTAATCTAATTTTTGTTGATCAGAGTTAGAAGGCAGCGACGTTACTCTACTAATCGAGTAGGACATCCTTGAAGCTCATTGGGTCTTAGAACAAAGGTTGGTTGAAACAGTACTTACACCATCAGAAACTGGTGCTTTGAGTTCACTTATGATCAGCATATTGTAAAAAGCGTAACAGAAGGATCGTAAGATCTATTAATCAATGATCCTATGGAAATGTTAAAGAATATATACATATATAAGTATGAGCCTGCTGATTCCCATTCTTCTGACAAATCGTTGTATATGAATGACTTGGAATCTATTAGCATATTAAAGTGGGGCGGAAATATGGTTTTCTGCTCATCGGGGCATCGCAAGAATATATTTATTATGAACTTTCCACCCAATCTTCAACCATGTCAGTGATACCTACAAAGGTTGCCAGTAAATACTACTTAACCGGACATTGATTAAGGAGTTTGGGAAAGATACAGACATGCAAATCTGCAGACGTCTAATCAAGGTTTGAGGTCGGACTTTCAGGGTTCAGGGCTTAGTTACTACACACGAATGTATTTGCCTCATCATCCTATGTTGAATACGTGAGGATAGCAGAAATAAAACTGTTGAAATGGCTGGTAACTTTTTGATTAGTCTACTTCCTTAAGGCTCAGAGACGACGGCAGATCTGGTCGATAAAATTTAAAGTCTCTACACAAAGCCAAATGCTGTACCAATAAACGCTTAATACGTAGCTATGTCAGCTAATTTGTACACATAAAAAGATTGAAAAGATACTATTTATATTATAAAGGTCAAATTCTCCACATAAAACAGACCTGAGAGGTACATGCTTGCGGATTCCACTGCATGAAATCTCTGATGAACTAATTACTACTTGGGCTATTCAGTTACAAATTCTTATGGTTTGAATTATGTATTTCGTCTGCAATACCCCAGGAGGTCATAAATTAGATTCTAACGGGTCTTGATGTTGTCGGAGCATATTAAAATGACATTGTAGTTCATGCTGAGAACACTGAGTTACATAATGAACACCATTTAGATTTACTTAGACATCTTCGTGATGTTGTCATATATCCACCGAAGTGTCAATTCCATCAACTTCCTGGATTACAGTGTAGATTTCAAGAGCTTTAGACCTGGTTGGATAACCTAATCCCATCTGTTTAAGCAGTGTCACCCGCGAGTGTCTCAATACTAAGACCATAGGTTTAAACTCTTTAGTTTTGTTCCAGGTTTATTATTAACTTTTAACAACTACTGTTTTCAATTTTGGATATAATTTCTAGTAGTTTGTACTAAAAAAACAACACGAGGATAGAATAAAAAGTATTATACAGTTCAAAAGATCATCAATTGATAGAGACTGTCTGCTTGTTCAACTGTTGCATGACGACAGAATATAAAATGTAAAAGATACTCTTCGTTAGTTTAGAAGCGTCATGAGCATAGTAAAAAAAGGTCAGAATCGTCAATGCGAACGTAGGCTTCCTGAGTTTCACAAGGTAGAACGGGTATTTTAGTAAATCTTGAGATTTTTGTGCCTTAGTTACAGGATAATTATTTCCACAGCAATTAGGTACCCATATAGAAACAGAAGAAAAATCAAATCACTGGCTTGTCGAGTATCTTGTTGGCCAGCGACTGATTATGACTAGGATAGAAAATAAAAAAAACTATGCTGCTCGTTTAAATAAGCTAACTTGAAATAAATCTACATAAAATCCTTATCTCGCGTTAGCCAGAACGAATGCCTCGACGGTATATTAATCAGAAGGTAAATATGAATTGCTGATTACGTTTATTAATGTACCACGCAAAGATCATTGAAATTACAGGTACGTTAAGTAAACATGATAGAGTAGTGCCGAAAAGTAAGTGAATGAACAAACAAGATTAAAATGCATATATATATATATATATATATATATATATATATATATATATATATATATATATATATATATATATATATGTTGAAATGAATGAGTCATCGAATCATTTAAGCTACTAATATTTATCTATTTATTGTTATTTGTCTACGCAAAGTACTTCGGATCCGTTGACCGGACACCATTAGCAACAATCTACTGTAGGAGAGAACAAACCACATACCAGTGGAGGAAGAAATCAGGAAAAAGCGCTGGAAGTAGATAGGACATACATTGAGGAAAGCATCCAACTGTGTCTCAAGACAAGCCATCACATGGAATCTTCAAATCCAAAGGAAACGATGAAGACCAAAGAACTCATTACGGCTGTAAATGGAGATAGACATGAGAAAAATGAACAAGAGTTGGATGGAACTAGAAAAGAAGTCACAGGACAGAGTGGATTAGAGAATACTAGTTGGCGGCCTATGCTTCATTGGGAGTAACAGGCCTAAGTAAGTAAGTAAGTAAGCATTCGTTTTCTAGTGACAGTTATCAGGACGAACAGTATACCAAATTCAAGGTTTACATTGCAAACCAACCACTACACAAGATTTCATTAACAAATGAAAATAAACATTCAATCTATTCTATAGATGTAATAAGTATAAAATACAATATAATTCATTTATTATACATTTATTGAATACGAATAATAGCTGAAAGTGATCACAGTATATATATATATATATAGAACATCAGTAGTTGTGATCCAGTTCATGAACTGACTAGAAACATTGTGTTAACATGAAATATCATTAATATAATAATAATAATAATAAAACAGAAAACAAAAACACAACAGTATTATCCTTTTAAAAAGAATGAATAACCAAAACAAAACAAAACACAAAGTTAACACAGACCAATTCAATTGACAAACTGTTTACAAATACATCAATGAATATTTATGAAGTCATATATATATTCAATTATTCAATTCTTCATTATACACTATACTCTTTATTGTTGTCATTTGATGCTTCCACTAATTCATTATTATTCACTTTTAATTCTGAAGGCTAAAATAAGTAATGAAACATTAAATAATTCATTGAATATAATAAATAAATCAATAAAAGTATATACGATTGAAGTATTATACGGTTGAAGTGAAGATAATACACGACAAGACTTTATAGTTGATCATATAAGGGAATGTAAAATCTACAGGAACAATACAGAAAGATTCAGTCTACTTCTAAACTGTTTTATGTTATACTTTGTGCGATAATCTATACTAATCCTTGTGAATATATAAAGTTTAATTTATTAGAATGAGAATTTGTGGAGATGATAATAATTTTAACAAATGAATCCATGAGTTAATCTAAGCTAGATTATTCGTTTTAATAATGGTTTAGAGATTAAATGTTTACATATGAGACTCAAAGTTTTAGGTTCGAGTTTCAAGTGTAAGATTGTGGATGTGTACTTACTGTACAGTCCAGTACTAGGATGAAAAGATTATTCAGTGTTTTCAGGTTTTCGATGATGGTCTAGTTTACATTGAAGAATGAATTCAACGGTTTAAAAAGTTTGACTTGTTAGAATTTTATGAGAATTAGAATCATTTAAATACTTAACTGAACAAACTTTTAAAACAATCTAAGTAGTTCACTTGGTATTGCTTTACTTAAATCTTCTCATTGATGTTTAGTACTGCAATTAATCAGTCTCTCTCTTATTGGCATATGTGCATACTATGCGTCCCGAATAGGATGAAACGCGCATCCTGGATTCCACTGTTAGCCGCTATCCATCTTTGCTTAATCTATATGACTTACTGAATGCTTGTATAGTGATGATGCATCATTGTTAGTCAACAGCTTTAAATATAAAAGACTAAAGTACATGTTTTTTTTGTACGTTGTTTATTGCGTTTCGATCGGATGAAAAATAATATTTGATCCAAAGATAGGTAAATTACATACCCTTTTTCTGGATAATTTATTCAGAAAGATTATCATTAGTGTAATAAATTAATCCATTTAATACAGGGGTTAATTTAAACATAAGAATATCCATTATTCTTCTACTCGTTGACCGTAGTATTCAGTAGAATAACTAAATATGTGTATCACTTCTTATCATAAAAGTAAATGGGGAGGTCTGCAAGCTGTTCCATTATCTATTCCATTTTGAAATTTTCTGAAGTGAAGAACATCTACGAAACCACAACCATCAAATCTACGGATGTTTCAATTCTGAAATCTGTCATAAGCTAGTGTTCGATGAATGGTAACAATATAATCTATTAGATTATTTCACTTTCAACTGAAATCATCTACGTAGCGAGTAAAAAATGAGTGGTATTTATATTTATTTGAAGAGGTAATTGAATGATACTGTACTCGATCTCGGATTTTTAGATAGATCTCAATAACTGTTAGGAATATATATATGAGTTGTATAATAAGAAATCTAGAGGTTAAGCGTTTTGCGCGCGCAAAATCGAACGTCCTAAATTGAAGTGTCACATGTGGAACCATGAATGCGCATTGCTAAGAGGTCTGGTACTAGGACGAAAAAGCTGTTCAGTGCTTCCAGGTTATCAATGGTGATCTAGCTTAAATGAACTCATGAATTCAAGTATTAATAATGAAAAGAGATTTACTATGTTCTCCTTAGTTCTCAGAGTGTAGTGTTGATTATTATGTTAAGCCCATATACCTTATTTTAGCTTTCGGAAAGACTAATGTATTCCTTCTACTTGAGTCACATTTTGATCTTGTTCATTATTCACTTATCAACCTTGACTGTTTTTATGTAAGCGTATGTGTGTACACTTCTTATCTTATTCACCATATGTCTGTAACCTATTTTTATTTGGCTATAAATATTGACTAACGCTTGATTAAATGGAGTTGGTTCACATGCCTTCTCTATTGCGCGTCATTTTACTTCACTCTCTTCTCCTCGTTTCGTTCCTTTGATTTTTACTGTCTAGATCAATGAGTTTACAAAATATACGCATTCAAAAATCCATTCTCGTATTTGACTTATTCAGTAGCGCGAGTTAAGTCGATGATAGTATAGGGAGGATTGATGATATGTATACTTCAATAACAATCATTTGTATAATATTATTGGAGTTAGATTTCGAGTCACTAAAAGAGAATATTCATTGGTAATTAACTTAATCACCATAGAATACTTGGTTGAATATAAACATTTCAAGAGTATATATACTACTGAGAGAATAAATAACTAGGTAATTTGTTCATTTTATACAGAAAGCAAATGTATTCAAAATGTGAAATGGCTTTAATGTCTACCACCAATAAAACAAACAAACACAATAGATAAACAATTTCAAATGATGTTTGTTTCCATGGAAAAAATAAATAATCATTGGATAAAATGAAATTTTATTAGAATGGATTAGATAAATGAGATAAAATCAAGCTATAAAGTCTTATATGAAGTAATTCTCTTTATAAAACTCATTTATAATAGGTTATAGATGAAATAAATGGTGATCTAGCTTCAGTTGATTCATTATCTTAACTATTTAAATTACTACAATCTCCACAAAACCCTCTTCTGATACTAATCAATATCTACTCACTAGTGACTGGCTTCAAGAAATATATCCGGGGGTTTTAGTGAGAAGTAGTGACCAGTGGAGTTCAACAGGGTCTGTTGTGAGATAGTAACTCACTGAAGGCAATGGTTATATATGAACACCATTGGATGCTAGCTCAGTGGTCAAGTGGTTAAGCGCTCGCGCGCGCCGACCCATAAGTCCTGCGTCGGAATCCGGGGGGGGTCTGTGGATACACATTGCTGAGGAGTCCCACAGTAGGACAGGTTTTCAATAGTGGTCTAATTTCAGTTGAATCATGACCTCAACTATTGAAATAAATAAAGAAACAACTAAAAACTTACTTGGACAACAAGGAGGAAAAAAAGAGAAAATGTAAATAAATCGATCACCATATCAATCCTAAGTGAACTAAAATATCTTTTTTTTAGATAATATAAGTTGGATTTGAGATAAAAATAGGTTGTTACTTAACTAGTTTTCTTTTTTTTTGTTTATTTATCACTCAAAAGACTGTGTGTCATCATTCACTAAATGATCCGTATCCATACTATTTACACGTATAGGGTTCTTTTATAGTAGACCCAATTTATTCTACAAAAGTATTTACTACTTAAATAGTCAGGGTATTTATCATGTTAAATTTGGACGAAATGAATAAATTTTCTATCATATTTAGTGATTGAACTGACAGTATGAAAAGTTTGATCCCTAATGATTCTTGATTGAAGGTGTTAAATTCAGCTGAGTTCAACTGTTTTGTATACGTGATTTATAATTTGTAAATACAAATCTTATCATGATTTACATTATAATGGATGGAAATAGTGATTGTAATACATTTTTGTTTGTCAATAACTGTTTTCAATGGTCTAATCAACTCACGCAAAACATGAAATATCATAAGTGTTATTTTATTAATAACTCAGATTTGTTGTTTTTAGAAATATAATCGTTAGCTAACTAATTGTTATTGAGTTCTTCTGGAGGTACCTGAAAAGGAAATTGGATTTAAGGTGGTCTTAGAGACCCGAGAGCGTGACTGTAGTGCCAAAGGGACAACTGCTTGTGGTCGGTCACACACGACCTTTATGTGGGTAATTTTCGTGTTACCTCCGTACTTGCTGAGACCTTACCGCCGGAGACGGATATCTATGGGATAAGTCGAGGTGTTCATTTTTAGAGTCGACCTTTTCTAACCCCACACCTCCTTGTGGGAAGACAACATCGCTGTTATGTTAGTTGTCTGAAAAAAACACCTTATTGCCTTCACACCTCTGTAAAGTCAGAAGTACGACTTCGCCATCGGACCTTGAGTTTGTTGCTTTTAGTCTTACTGCTCTTCAGCCGACCTGTCTGGCATGGTAGGACCTTGAGGAACGATTGTTTCAGCCAGCATAGCTCAATTGGTTCATCACGATAGGTAAGCCCGACCACCACGTCAGGGTAGCAACAACGGTCTAGTGTTACTGAGGTGGTGGTAATCAGTGTTAATTAATTATCTTATAACAGTTAATGATTTAATGTCATTTGACAAATCGGCGAGTCTATAATTTATGGACGAACCAATCACGTATAAGATAACAGGTATCGGATTTTGGCGCGAAATTTACTCATCGATTTGGATAAATAAATGTTAGTCCGTGATGAAAACCCTACATCCAAATTTCTAACAATCATCTTCAACTGTAAATTATAATTATAACTCCTCACACAGGTTTATAACTCTCATTTGGTTCTATTTATTAGGTAGACACTCTCAAAGTCAGTCTAGCGTCGCTCAAAGGTTGTCCATAAATTATAGTCTCATCAACAAATCAGTGTCATTATTGGAGACTTTTAATTTAAATCCATTACTTTTACTTAATAGAGACAATAAACATAAGTTGACATTTTAATTAAACCGTAATATTTTGCTAAATTTACTCAACTTTTGGTAGGGCCTAGTTTAAAGAGTATCATAGTAAGATCAAGCGGCTATCCACAGCTTTCAGATTTCCAGTAGCTGTTCAACTTATATTGGTTCGCGATCTCCAAAAGCATTTGGGTTATTATTCATGTAACTAAGCATGTCAAATCAAGCTACTTTCTCTTCCATATTCCACAATATTCTATAGTATTGCTAACCGTCTGTAAAGGAATTTTGTTTAACCTAACTTCATAACCCACCAATCATAATCGAAGTTTTTTTAACTTTACTGCTAATTCACAAGTTGCTGTTTATAAGAAAAAATAATAATACACTTATTGGATTTACATGAATTTGAACGATATCCACATGTAAAGTATGATTATTTGTATAATTTACATGATTATCCTCTTCTTCACACTCTTTCTCCGGTTGCATCAATAAGAATGGAATGTACAATGAACATCGGCTAGTGAAGTACACAAGAGAAAGAGATAAAAATGTATAAGCTAAACAGAAAAATACACATATACTTTAATTATGAATTAATCAAGGCAAAGAGAAAGAAACAATAAGTTGAACCAAATCGTATGAATTTGTTTGATTAAATTCTGATCATTCGTAATACTTTCAGATCATAATTACAAAAAATGAATCCATTAGTAAATTAAAGCTAGACTTCGATTGAAAACCTGGGAGCACTGGATGACTGTTTCGCCCTAGTAAGACACTCCTTAGAAATGTGTACTCATGATCCCGTACATGAGACTCAATTCCGGGAGCTTCAGACTCGCGCGCGAACATTTAACCTCTAGATCACTAGGACGGCACCGAATAGTGTCAATATCTAAATTTAATACTACATAAATACTAAGATCTCCACAAATTCCCATACCGACAACAGTTATGTGCTCACCAGTGGCTAGCTTCAAGATGAATTCCCTGGAGTTCAAGTGAAGAGCCGTAACCAAAAGAGCCCAATTCGTGTAGTGTGAAGACATTTATCCACCTCAGATAAGGAATGAAGAATTATACCCGACCATTGATTAATTGAAGTTATACAATAACACAGTTGGATGCCGGCTCAGTAGTCTAGAGATTAAGCATTCGCACGCGAGACTCAAGGTCCTGTGTTCGAGTCCCACATGCTGGATGGTGGATGCATACCATTAGGTAGGATGAAACGGCCGTTCAGTGCTTCCAGATTTTCAATGGTAGTCTAGATCAACTCAATTCATGAAATGAACTATGAAAATACAATTCATCATTGTTTATTGAAGATAAAATTGTTCATTAAATTTACATTAAAATGAAACGAACTGTTTTCTATTAGGTTTCAGTGAGAAGAAAATAAGGTGACACTTTTTAGTAAATTTGTTTTTAAGTATTCATTTTGTTATTTTTCAAAAAAATTACTATAATTATATAAGGCCACATTATTGTGAGTTAATCATTATGAATTATTTAAGGTCAACAAGAACTAATCCACATCGAGTTCTACAGAGCAAGCTGTAAGCCATATGTGGAGAAATTTGAACATTTCACTTCTACCTAAAGTTTGTGCTGATAATGTTGTTCAGAAGAACGATGTAAGCTCCACGATCAAACGGTTATATCCTAGCGAAGATTAAATTACGAATAACTTCTGAGACCTATTAATGGACTAATATTATCTATGTAATTTTATGGTATAACTATTCAGGAGTTAAGATGGATAGTGGCTAGCAGTGGAATCCAGGACGCGCGTTTCGTCCTGTTTGGGACTCGTCAGCTGGATGTACCTGCATCTCAGAGTTGATGTTCACTCTGGGACTCGAACTCAGTACCGTTCGCTTCAAACGCCATCGCGTTATCCACTTAGCTACTGAGTCCTGATAGCCACTTGCTTGTGCAATGGGTTGAAGTTTAATTCACTTGATATTGTTTTATTTGAATCTTCCCATTGATGTTTTTGGACTGAAATTGATCAGTCTCTTATTGGCATATGTGCATACTGTGCGTATGCCTCGATATTGCCTTAATTTACAAGCATTATAAGCAAAGATGGATAGTGGCTAGCAGTGGAATCCAGGACGCGCGTTTCGTCCTGTTTGGGACTCGTCAGGACTCAGTAGCTAAGTGGATAACGCGATGGCGTTTGAAGCGAACGGTACTGAGTTCGAGTCCCAGAGTGAACATCAACTCTGAGATGCAGGTACATCCAGCTGACGAGTCCCAAACAGGACGAAACGCGCGTCCTGGATTCCACTGCTAGCCACTATCCATCTTTGCTTATAATGCTTGTAAATTAAGGCAATATCGAGGCATACGCACAGTATGCACATATGCCAATAAGAGACTGATCAATTTCAGTCCAAAAACATCAATGGGAAGATTCAAATAAAACAATATCAAGTGAATTAAACTTCAACCCATTGCACAAGCAAGTGGCTATCAGGACTCAGTAGCTAAGTGGATAACGCGATGGCGTTTGAAGCGAACGGTACTGAGTTCGAGTCCCAGAGTGAACATCAACTCTGAGATGCAGGTACATCCAGCTGACGAGTCCCAAACAGGACGAAACGCGCGTCCTGGATTCCACTGCTAGCCACTATCCATCTTTGCTTATAATGCTTGTAAATTAAGGCAATATCGAGGCATACGCACAGTATGCACATATGCCAATAAGAGACTGATCAATTTCAGTCCAAAAACATCAATGGGAAGATTCAAATAAAACAATATCAAGTGAATTATTCAGGAGTTAGATTATGTATATCTATATTTTCCTTATTATAAGCTTCATTTTGATCTATAATTTATTGTTATGCTATTTGCTGTTCTTAAGTTATACTGAGTTTATTGATTACGGTCTCCCACGTTCACAGCCAATTTTTGGCTTTATTGTGTGCAAATGTTATTTCTTATTTTATGGTGCGATGTGGTCTGTTTGGCTAGCATATAAACCAAGTATGTTTGAAATAAATGATTCGCATGGCGGAAGCTGTTGTTGATGTTTTGGAATTAACTGGACGGGCTAGACGAGCAAAGGACCAATCAGGACGCTAGGCAGATCAGACCGGTCGAACATCATTGGTTTAGTGCAGAACAAGAGTGAATAAGTCGTATTTCGACTGGCGAATAAATTACTTGGTAAGTAGCCGGACCTTAAAGTCACAACACAAACCATCTAGCTCGAAGAACAAAACTCTATCAAAATATTTTAGATAAAGATAATTATGAATAAAGAAGAACTAGAATTGACAATCTTTTATGAAAGTGAATTAGTGGAATAAGTAATTTGTGAAATGCCAAAATATTTCAAAATTTAATTACTATCAGAGGGGGTTTTGTGGAGATTTTAGTAATTTCAATGGTTGAATTCATGAGTCAAGTGAAGCTAGACTACCATCGAAAACCTGGAGACACTGAACGGCAGTTTCGTCCTAGTATGAAAATCCTCAGCAGTGCGCACCTACGAACCCGCCTCCCCCGCGAGATTCGAACCCACGACCTATCAATCTCGCTCGTGAGCGCTTAACCACTAGACCACTGAGCTGGCCGGCATCCAACGGTGTTAATGTCTAACTTCAACCAATCCACGAAATTGCGCCACCGTACACCATTGTCTTCAGTGAGCTGATATCTCACAATAGACCTGGTTGAACTTCACTGGTCACGGCTTTTCACTAGAACTCAAGGAGTGTCTCTTGATGTCAGTCACTAGTGAGCAGATGATTATTATTAGAAGGGGTTGGAAAAAACAATGATCAAAAACACATGCGTTTGCATCAATCCAGTGTTTTTGTTCAGGTATTTAATGAGTAAATTGTCTACAACAACAGTTTATCAGTGTAGAAAATATTAGTCGTAGACCTAATAAATATGTTGGATAACATATTTATTGTAAGTTGAATTGTCGATTTCAGATTTGTAGATGTGGACTGCTGAGGAGTCTCCTTCTGTGATGAAATAGCTTTCTGATACCTCTAGGTTTTCACTGGTTGTCTAAATTCAATAGGTTATTGACCATGATTGATAAGCTTTATCAGGAGCCTGCTTTAGCTAAACAACCAGCGAAAATCATGATGCGTTGAACAATTGTTTCTTCTATATACAGAACACCTCAACAGTGAACATCGGCAACCCTACCAGATATTAAAACCATGAACTTTAGGTTCCATTAAGAACATTCAACCTTCAAATAAACGGGTTAACTTTCATTCAGTAGTTCAGATTTTTGAACACTATTGAACAATGTTTGCCTACCTACACTCAATCTGCAATGTCAAATACAAATTAAACAATCTCCACAAACTTCGGATACTAACAATATCACTACTAGTAATTTATTTTGATAGTTTATCTGCTGTAACGTTAAGTACAAATTACTAACTAGAAACTAAAAATAAAGGAAATTCTGGATTCATTTTCAAAATTTAACAGCACTGCCATAACATTTGATATGTCGATGATTCTATTCGTATTAAATATTCTGGTATATATTTCAATCAAATATACACGTGATAAACAACTTATATTTGTCAGAATAGGGTTGTGGAGATCATTAAGTTTTTAATTGAGATCATGAACTGATTGATGTTAGACCACCATTGAAAACGTGGAAGTATTGGACGGCAGTTTAGCTCAATTGTGCTACTCCTCAGAAGTGCGCGTCCACGATTCCGACCACGGGATTCGAACCCAGGGCCTTCAGTCTCGCTTAACTTCTAGACCACTGAATTGGCATCCAGTGGTGTTAATTTCTAACCTCATCTTCTAACCACTTTTATATATTTATTCTCCGTGTTTTTTAGTTAAACAATAATACCACTGTTCTTAATAATATACCTTCTTGTATTTTTGTTACTAACTGATCAGATTGTTTATTACATTTTCTCGCAAACGTTATGATGCATCAAGTTGTTGGGGATGCTAGATCCCCAGAAATCACTGAGTAAACTTCTCATGTTTGTGATCCTACTATTGAAATTTGGGTTCCTCATATTCGCGTCGAAAGTACTCATTTTTTAATCTTTAAATTGTTCTTGCCACTTGGAAAGACTTTAAATATTATTAATTCTTTTGCTTTTTTTAATAGGCTGTTTTGTGGCGTTTTTCAAGGATACCTTTGTATTATATATGTACGCTTGAGTTGTGTATTTGTCGTTCATTCTTCCAGGCTGCCTGTAGAATATATATATTTCCCCGGCTGAATTCAGTCTTTTCCCTCTAGTTATCAGCGTTAGAGTGTAGTAGAATAGCTTAGCTTTCTTGTTGTTGTGTTGCTGACTCTTTTTCCGTTCATCAGTCCTAAGTGGTTCCGTAATCCCTCAAAATTAGCGCAAGCGATTAACATAAATAATGATAGAATTATTAACACCAATGTGTGATTTACCTGATTCCAATCCAGCATCTAACACGAACACAATAAGAAATTACAATTCCATGTAGTTCCTTATTAGCTTTTATTACCAGATCTGTAGAGCTAAAAAAAAATGAACAGAACATTAAAGCATGAGAAGAGTTATCAAGTGAGACGTTATTATTTGTATGTATGGAATTTGTCATCCTATAATTGTCACAGTGAATAAATAAATTTCTGTCAGTATACGTATATAGAAATGTTGACTGTTACTTTAACCTTCCAATTATTTTCTTCACTAATTGATTTAAAAAAAAACACAATTATGTTCGGAAATAATAATACACTTGAAACAAATTGATAGTTATCATGGTTACTTAATCGTTGATATATTGATTTCATTATAAAAAGTTTTTTTTTGTATAAATGATTGCTTTAAAAGATCGATTATTTCATGATACTTTCAACTTCATCCGAACTCCACTTGGAGCCCCTCTGGGGCTACTACCGATTCTAACCCCGTATAAAGGAGGAGGGTTGAGCATTAGGTCAGCGAACTCATCCCGTAGGAAACTAACTTGCTAAAAAACGCTAACCAGAAAAAAATTATTCAACTTCATCCGTCTATCAAGTATCATGGGTAATTATTCCATTATTATGTTCATTTCTAACTATTTTCTATTGTAATTTGATAATATGAGCTTAATTATAAATAAGGAAGTTTGTATTGATTAATTTAATTTATCAGAAGGGGTTTGTGGAGATTTGAGTAATTTCAATAGTTGAAATCATGAGTCATTTGAAGTTAAACCACCATGGAAAACCTGGAAGCACTGGACGGCCGTTTCGTTCCACTATGGGACTCAGCAATGCGCATGCACGATCTCAATTCGCGAGATTCGAACCCAGCACCTATCAGTCTTGCTCGCGAGCGCTTAGCCATTGAACCACTGGGCCAGCATCCAAAAAGACAATTTATACTGTAAAGGTTAAACAGTTGTCGATGAGACTATGGATGATTTTTGAGCGATGCTAGACTGACTTTGAGAGTATCCACCTAATAATTAGCACCAAATGAGAGTTATAAACCTGTGTGAGGAATTATAATTACGATTTCAAGTTGATGGTTAAGGTTAGGAATTAGATTTAGTGTTTTCATCACGAACTGATATCAGCTCTAATGCCAAAACTCCAAATGGATGAGTGGATTTCGTACCAAAATTCGATACCTGTTATCTTATACGTGATTGATTTGTCCATATATTATAGTCTCGCCACAAACGACGATGTAATTTTGGTAAATAAAGATATTTCATACTACAGAATAAACTGAACCAGACAAAAATTCAATAATGCAATAATGCAAGCATGTTTGGGATGCGATTCTACCTCTTGAAATGCAAAATAATGCTTCATGATTAGGTTGCATTGACACTTGAACTAATGATACAGAGTGTAGTTGAGTGTGTCGACCACTTCACTTATCTTAGGAGTCTCATCAGCCCTTGTGGCCTAATGTGTGACGAAATCTCAGCTCGACTAGCTTTTGCCAACGTGCGTCATTTATGGTGTAGGAGAGATATCAGTCTACCAACCAAAGGACGGGTTTAGCGCGCAGCAGTTAGTTCCTTCCTACATTATGGCTGTGAAATATGGCCGGTAAGAGTAGAGAATATTCGTAGGTTACTAGTATTCGATCATAGGTATCTTCGAAACATTGCTCGTATATCCCTGGGACCACCGACTAATTAATGCAGTTGTTAGGAAACGGGTACTAGGTAAAGATGACAAATCAATTGATGAAGTAGTGAAACGTGATCAGTCGAGATGGCTAGGACATGTGTTACGTACGCGAATGCCGCGACGAGCGATTTTTTGTGGTGTAGGAGTAGATTGGAAGAAAGGTAGGTGCAGCCAGATTAAAACATGGCACAAATCCATGAAGCCACTGACAAGTTGACTGAGCCATGTTGGTAGGTGTAGACTACTTGGTTGAGATCCATGAGATGATAACAACCGATGGATAGAGACCTTGAATGACATGGTTCAAAATCGTTAGCAATGGCACAGGTGCATCTACTCTTTGTGTTCTCTTAAATTCTAATCTTCTGAATTCTCCTTGTATCTTTTTTTTCGCTTTCCAAATATGTTTCACTGGATTATACTCCTTGAATATCATCTTCAAACTCTAATCTTTTCGATTGGTGCTTATACTCTCACTACCTCTACCACTATGGGATTTCAATCGACAATCGTATCTCCATGCTAATGTGGTGTGGCAATTAGAACTGATGTAAGAACGTACGAAGTTCTACGTTGTTACTGACTGACTCAAAAACAATATTTATTTAAAGATTAATTGGATTATCAAAGCTGAATAACTTAAACGTTACAATTTTTGAAGAGCGCATTTAGTTAACTAATTATTATTAGACATCTGTACCTGCAAACAGTTTGATATTGCTTAACTTACTTTTAACACTAATTCAAATCTGATTTCTGTATGCAAATGAGGTTTGTTGAAGTTCGTTATTTTATCATTATCTTATTACCCCTTCTAATTTTACAGTTTGTCAATGGCAATTATAATCTTTAACATAGAGGTTTGTTTTAGCATAGGGCTTCCTAATAATGTGGATCCATGACTTGACCATAGTCCCGGATTCAAATCCCGCGGTCAGGATCGTGGATCGACACTGTTGACGAGTTCCACAATAGGACGAAATGGTCGTCCAGTGCTTCCAAGTCTAGTTTCAAATGGCTTATGAATTCAGTTATTACATTACTAAAATCTCCATAAACCTCTCCTTCTGTTAATAATTCTTACTTACTTATTTACATTTTTATTAATATTTTGCATCATTTCTAAACATTCTTTAAAATTTTCAGATAAATTCAATACTGTTGATGAAGCTAACCAATTTTTCTCTTGTCTTATATAACCATCTAATGCAACACCACGTTTTAATAGATTATCTGTTAAATTAGTATTTAACAGTGTTGTATATTTCCATTGTTGTTCTCCAGCTTGAGGTAGATTAACTCTGTATAGAGAAAAGTGAAAATATTTAAGAATAGAAGAAAAAAGAGACAAATATCACAAATGTAAATGAATGGAAATTTGAGGATAAGATATTATGCACTAGGCATATGCATCGGAACTGATTATACTCAAAAAGTCGTATTGCCAGACTGTGTTTGTGTTATTGATACTTAGAATTTGCTCTTGTCTTTTCATATTCACGGTTATGTCCTAAGCTATACGATACTGCGGAATACGATTTCCAATTAAGATACCCTGATTTATACGAGCAACCCAGAGTTTTTATTGGTCTTTCTTCTGTCCAGCCACTGCTTTTTAAGTCCAGAACACCAATTTCAGCCTCTGCAACACGAATCATATATTTCAGACATACTAGGTTTATAAATAAATAAATCAAGCCAAATAGCACCATAAAATAGGAAATAACATTTGTACAAGATCAAGCCAAAAGTGACTGTGATTATCAGGAACTGTTACTAACAAATTAGGAATAACTCAAGGATAGTCAATCGTATGATAATGGTCAATAAGTTAAATAAAAGCGTATAATGAAATGAATATGAATACATGTATGATATAGTCATTTAATAGTCATACAATAAGAACATACGTATAATATTACTTCATCAGTGATGCCTAACGGTTACCACACATTCTCGTCCGGATATAACATTGACAATTTAGCTAACTGTTTTTTTTTTTTGTGACTAAAAATAGAAAGTTTTTTGAATTAATTGATAAATTCACTATTTCTAGGAGATCCTATGATGGAAAATAATTTGAACAGCTTATAAGTATCACAATGTATTGATTTTTTTTATTACTTATTTTGAAGTACATTGTATGTATATACATAATTTTAGCTATTTTAAGAGTGTTATGGTCTTTGAGTTGAATAGTCTGATTTCTCTTTGAGATACATACTGATGATGTTGTTCAGAAGAATGACGAAACCTTCACAATCAAATCATCCAATTCGGAGATCACAATATCTTCAAGTTATAAATATTCTCTATCTTTCATAAACGTTTCTAATGATTCATACCTAGATTATAAGATAAGTATTTGCATAAATTCATCGACAAAAAATACTTAAAGTTTATTCTCTTTCCTTTTGGTGAATTGATGTTAACCAAGTATTACTAGCCTTAACTTTGTCAGTATTTAAAAGTATACTTTCCAGGAATAATTAATCAGTTGTGAGGTATTACGTCACTGATGACAATGGTGGATGTGTCGCTCAATTTCGTGGATTAGTTGAAGTTAGACATTAACACCGTTGGATACCGGCCGGCTCAGTGGTCTAGTTGGTTAAGCGCCTGACGCGAAACTGATAGGTCCTGGGTTCGAATCCCGCGAGGTGAGATCGTGGATGCGCACTGCTGAGGAGTCCCGTAATAGGACGAAACGGTCGTCCAGCGCTTCCAGGTTTTCCATGTTGGTCTAGCTTCAATTGACTCATGATCTCAACTGTTGAAAGTAATCGTGATAAGTTAGAATGTCACTGAAGTTTTCCCAGACTAAAATAAAAATCTAACATACAACTAAAGAAGATTTATCACTACTATCCTAATACAGATTGAACAATTTATTACTGAGCTATCATATTTATATATACGATTTTGGAAATATCTACATTCAATCCAATATTTTTGTTGTTGTAAACCTTCTGCATAAAATATGTTCGTATATACTGGTGCCTTGATTAATGACTGACAAATCTATCTGGATTTTTTTTTCTTTACCTTGAAAAATGCCATAATCTACATAGTGATATATGGATAACTTTATTTATTTATTATTAATGTTTAATTATCAGTTGAGATGGATGGTGACTAGCAGTGGGAATTGTCAGCTGGATACATCTGCTTCTCAGAGTTAACGTTCACTCTACAACTCGAACTCAATACCGTCCGCCTAAAATGCTATCACATTATCCATTTAGCTTCGGAGTTCAGATAGCTACCAGTTTATGTAATAAAGTGAATTTTTAGTTCATTTTTGTATTCATTGTTTGAATCTTCCCATTGATGGTGTTTAGAACTGCAACAGATTAGTATCTTTTAATGTTTATGGTTTAAGCCAATATCCAGACAATCTGCATAAGATACACATAAGTGACTGATCACTTACAATCCTAAACATTAATGGAAATATTCAAACAAACAATATAAACAGTGAATTATGTGAATAATTATTGTTTCTGATTTGTAACTACTTAAAAATAACATTGATGTTCTTTCAATTATTTTGAATAAGAATATCAATGTAAAAAAATTATAGCTTTCAGTACTCATGATCAAATGAATAAAAACAAATTGAACAATATGAGGCAAGATAAAGTGGTGACCAAAATAATTAAGATTATATTCCATAAAACAATATGAACACGAGAAAATACCATGTAGAAGTTATACTAGAAAACGGTAAATATTTGTACTAAATATCCCCACTATAAAGAATTCACTTAGTTCTTATTGTGTAAATGCTAGGTTTGAAGTTATCACGAGTTCACTTAATCTGCGAACGAGAACAAAGACTCGGTGACCAAAGACCAGCAAGCTAGCTACTGATGCTTCCCAGCCCCGCTAACTAGAGGGAGAAGTCCAAGCTTGGAATGGGGAAGTATATTCTGCAAACAGCCAGAAACCAGCAAGCTCACAGCGATCCCACAAACACAATTCAAAACGTATATATACCAATTATATGTGTATAATTGATATTGCCATGGAAGTATTTTTAAACAGTTAATCGATGAGTTAGTCAATCGACTGCCATAGAAATATTTATCATTTAATCGATAGGAATAGTTAATTAACAATTATATAGTATTGGTCCACAAATGGATCCCAAAAATTACCACTCATTATTCTTATCGGGGCATAACAGTAAAGAATGTGATAAGTACTATTCAGAAAGCAATGAAGTTACTTTGAAGACAGTAAACAAGAAATAGCTGATGATAAAGAACCAAATATAGTGACACTTTTATTGTGATACATTGTATATAAGATGCATCTTTACCGTTAATACATATTCTATTCATCAGAGTATATATTGTTTCACTCATATCTAAACACTTCCAATTTATTGCATGAATTTAAAACAGAAACTAACAATTAGTTTCTTTCAGCTGATTAATATTCATTTCGATATTTTACCATATAAAATGCTCAAGTTTTCCGAAAGAAACAATACCCTTTATGAATACACTCAAATAATCTTATCTATACGAAGTATTAACTTATAGGACAAAATTAAATATTAACATTTAATTTGATTAGAAAAGTAAGACATCAAACTACAAAACGTTTACAAACAGCTATTTCTAAGTAAAGATAGATAGTGGTTAGCAGTGGAATCTACGACGCTTGTTTCGTCCTCTTTCAGACTCGTCACCTGGGTGTACATTCATCTCAGAGTTAATATTTACTGTGGGAGTCGGACCCAATACCGTTTGCTTCAAACGCCATTGCGTTGGGGAAGATTCAAGTAAACAATACCAAGTGAATTTTAACCTCACCTCATTTCACATCCAGGCGGGTATCAAAACTCAGTAGCTAAATGGATAACATGATAGCGTTTAAAGCGAACGGTATTGATTTCGAGTCCCAGAGTGAACACCAACTCCGAAATGTAGGTACATCCAGCTGACTTTCCCAAACGAAACGCTCGTCGTGGATTCCACCACTAGCTACCAACCATCTTTGCTTATAATATCTATAAATTACGGCAATATCGAGGCAATACGCACAGTATGCATATATGCCAATAAGAGACTGATCATTTGCAGTCCTAAACATCAATGGGAAGATTCAAGTAAACAATACCAAGTGAATTGCACAAGCTATTTCATTTTAGATATGAATCTGAAAATATAAGTTATTCGAAGAAAAACTGTTTTAAAACAATTAAAGAAAATTTTTTTTATTGTTTATAACTCATCTTCAATGTTAGATTTTCAATAGCAAGACTACAGTAAGCAAAAGAATATACTATACTTCTACTGAGTATTATTAATTGAACAATAAGTAATTTTCAAATGACTAAACTGTTATCGTTTGTTATTTACTTCATTCTATTTAACTTGTCCTGAGCCTACAAATCCTATATTAACCGCGTTTGATAAGAGTGTTGTCAATGATAGATCGTTAATCTTTAACTAAAAAATTGACCCCTTATGTCTTACAATTCAAGTAATAATGAAGTTAGCTACTTTTAAATGTGATAGTTCGATAGGTAACGATCTAGAGTTTTAAACAGATTTGAACCACCATAAGAGCCTTAATAATAAGATAAAGGTATATATGTCTGAAAAACCTTAAACTAAACGAAACGTGCTTACTAGGTTCTATTAACAACCAATAACTAAATTATAACACACAGTTTTGTTTTCGAGTATAATCTCAAGTTTTAGTCTTATTACTTGTTATATCCCTATAAGAATAATGAATGGTAACTTTTGGGATCCATTTATGGGCCAATACTATACAAATATTTTTATTGTATAATTTTGCATCAGGTTCTACAATTATAAATCCAGATTAATAATTGTAGAACCTGATGAGGAATTATTGAAAAGAATATTCTTCGTTCATACAATTGTACATTGTATAACTATCAGGATGAGTTTTGTGGAGATTTTAGAAAATTTCACAGGTTGAAATCATGAGTCAATTGAAGCTAGACCACCATGGAAAACCTAGAAGCATTGGACGGCCGTTTCGTCCTATTATGGGACTTCAGCAGTGCGCATCCACGGCCGTCCAGTGCTTCCAGGTTTTCCATGGTGGTCTAGCTTCAATTGACTCATGATTTCAACCTGTGAAATTTACTAAAATCTCCACAAAACTCATTCTGATAATAATCAACTGTTCAATAGTGACTGACTTCAGGAGGACCTCCTGGAGTTCTAGTGAGAAGCCGTCACCAGTGGAGTTCAACCAGGTCTGTTGTGAGATATCAACTCACTGAAGACAATAGTGTTCAGTGGCGCAACTTCGTGTACTGTATAATTGTTAAATAACTAAACTGTTGATATTCATGTCCATCTTATTGTAAGCTTTATTTTGACTCATGAACTATTATTATACGATTTACCATTCTTGAGTTATGCCCTGTCTATTAATTATTATCTCCCTCATCTCAGACACATTTGGCTAATTCTTGTACAAATGTTGTTTTCTATTTTATGGTACGATGTGGTCTGTTTGATTGGTATATAAACCCAATATGTTTGAAATAAATGATTCATATCGCAGATGCTGGGATTGGTGTTCTGGACTTAACAGGTGGGGTTAGTCAGGAAGCGGGACTGATAAGTACTCCAGACTACTCGCATGGGTTTATTCGTCACTGGTCCGATAGATAATTCACTGTTCTCTAATTGGCGGTATTGTTACCTTATACAATAAACAGGGCACACAGGTCACAAGTTATAACATTACTAATGTATGATTCCGCACTAAGTGTTCTGTATTTTAACATTATTGTAGTATATAACTACTATCATATAAGGTGAATATTTTCAAACAACAAGTCATAGATACAAACATCTTTTGACAGTCAGGTACGCTTTATTTTCCGAAAAATTTTTATATATATACACTCTCATAGATGTCTATTTTTTTTGTTGTCATCCGGAAATTTGTTACAGTAGTCTTGTGATTTAATGAACCAAAATAGATAAATCTTAAAATTTCACACAAAAAAAAGTAAAGGAAACATTCATTTCAGAATCAACCAATAAATCATTGTTGTCAAACAAGTTTATTGAGAAAAATTGTGAAAAAAACTGTAATTATGACAAGAATTAAGAAGAAAAATTTAATCGTCTGAAATTTTATAGTGAGATGGCAGTTACTTCTCTATTACACAATTAGTAGCTTATTTTAATGAAAACTTTATTTCACAGATAGAAATCATGAGTCAATTGAAGCTAGACTAACATGGAAAACCTGAAAGCACTGGACGGCCGTTTCGTCCTAGTATGGGACTCCCCAGCAGTACGCATCCACGATCCCACACCTCGCGAGACTCGAACCAAGGACCTATCAGTCTCGCGCCAGGCGCTTAACCAACTAGACCACTGAGCCGGCCGGTATCCAACGGTGTTAATGTTTAACTGATCGGTCCTGGGTTCGAATCTCGTGGGGAGCGGGATCTTGGATGCTCACATATGAGGATCTCAATTTGTGAAATTTCTAAAATTTCCACAAACCCCATCTGAAAACTTTATTGTCAATTTTGTTGAAAGATAGAATAGCCACTTGTCATTTGATGATATTCAATTACACTGGGTTAGTTTATAATAAACATTTAGACAATTTAATTTATGCATTTACTATTCTAGTGTAATAAATCTGAAAAAAAAACGTACGACCTTTTTGAATGATTTGTGTATATACAATGATTTTCATGTAGTTGAATTCACGAGTCCTTCTAAAATAGATCATTATTTAAAATCTAAAAGTACTGGACGTCGGTTCCGTCCTAGTACAGGACTCCTCAGTAGTACGCAACCACGATTCCAAAAGAATACTACAAATCCTCATACTGATATAATGATTTTGTAGTTAATGTTAAAATCAAAACATTTCCTTGGTATATTGGTACAATATTAGATCTGTTCGTAAATAGTTTTTGTCTACAATCTCAGCGTTATTTATGAACAATAATTTACACTGACAGGGACAACGTCGAATACCGTCGGTAAATTCGCAAATCACAATAGCGTTTCTTATCTAGTACATCTTTATAACATGATTTACCTGAGCAGTCACATTGAAGAAATGTCAAACTCATAACTTCTTTTTTCTATTTATTTACCGTGGTAACTGAGTTTGAATGATATTTCTACTCCCTAATAACAAAACAAACACTATCTGATCAAATTAAATTATTTCAAGTATTTTCGAAAAATCTTCTCTTTTGAAAAAACAACAAAACAATTCATGTACGAACTATCAAGTCGCAAACGTGATTATCTGAATACTGTAGTGTAGTTCAATCAATGATTATTTGAAATAAAACAACTTTCCTTTTCAGTTGAACCAACAACAAAAACACAGCTCATTATGAAAAGTGAAAATCGATAACAAAACATGTTTATTCACATGAAATCAATTTGATCAAATCTTTCAAAATTTTTTGCTTGACAGTAAGCCGAAGATCATTACATGACTAGTATTTGACCACAGATGCCTTAGAAATATTCCTGGCATCTTCTGAGATCATCAGGCAAGTAATAGTGAGGTTAGATGCACGGTATTAGGGAATGATGGTAAATCAATTGATGAAGTCGTGAATCCTTATCGAATGAGATGGTTGGGCCACGTGTTTCGTATGCCTGAACACCGATTACCACGACGCGCAATGCTGACTAGTGTTGAAGACGATGGAAGAAAGTTTGGGGAGGCCAAACCAAAACGTGGCATCAGTGCTTGAAGTCACTAACTTCTAGTCTGAGCCATGTTGGTAGATGCAGACTACTTGGATGGGGTCCGCGTGACTATCTTAACCAGTGGTTAGAGACCCTTGGTGATGTGGCTCATAATTGATCATAATGGCGTCGGTGTATAAACTCCCTGTCTTCCCTTAAACTAAGAGATTAAAATCACTTCATATCTTTCTTTCTACGAACTAATTCTTTATTCCTGTACTATATCGTTATATGCAATCTTTCATTTATATGTTACCACCACTGAATTAACTATTTCTATGAATTCGGTGTTTGTCTTGTTGTATGGCAACTTGGACCGATGCATATATGTGCCTGGTCCTACGTTGTCGCAGACTGATTGACTGACTGACATCTATAACAATATTTGTTCAAAAAAAGGAGTACTTACTTGCAGAAATGCTTATCTATTGTCGATCGATACGTTCCCTTGGTCAAGACATAAATTTCAGCAACTTGTACAACTGAATGTAAGAAAAATATTTATTTGGAAAAGGTATAAGCTAAGCAAATAACCACTGTTCAACGAAACAATGAAGTAATCCTTGGGAGGTATTGACAGTTAGTATATAAAATACCGACTACGGCAAACTTCATTACAACATTGCTTTAGCTAAGATATTTAATGATAGTCAATTTGGTTTCATTTTCTTAGCTTATATAATGGATGTACCCAAACTAAACATGTGATGATATTAAATACAGAACAGTGAACAGCTGTTTTGTTCAGATATGGTATTTGTTTAGCATTATGAACCTATGATCTAACAGCAAAACTTACCTAGAATGGTTAAGCTTGTTGTCAAGCTTTTAGCCTTCACACCTGTTATTCACCATGCATTGGTTCACATCTTCGATTTCAGCCAGTTCATGAAACTGACTAACTAACATCCACTGATGATAATATTTATTTTATATCAGATACGTTTAAACTTAAATGATCATAGCCTCTCAGTTACCAGTAAGTGTTCGATTAACACGAATAATACAGGTAATTTATGGAAATTATTCAGTTTACAATTGACATCATTGGCTAACTTTACCTTGATGATTATTGTAAACCAGGTAAATATCATCAGCACAAACGTCTATCTGAAGTTTGTGCTGATGATGTCGTTCAGAAGAACGATGAAAGCTCCACGACCAAACCATCCAGCTCAGAGAACAAAACACCACCAAAATCATCCACCTGAGCTACAAATCTTCTCCACCATCTCAAAATATTGGGTATGTTTTGCCCTAAGTTTAGCTTTTTTATACCATGTGTAACGGTTCCTCAATGTTTCCTCGGATAATGTCTATAACTAATAATAATCACCAACATTCATAAACCATATTCACTTCATCAATTAAATAATCAAAAGTATATCAGGCTTTTCATTCTTCAATAATCAATATTAATCGAACAATACACAAATTAATCTATATTTTTGTTAGATATCAATGAACCGTACTAACTTTGAGGTGAAACTATCCATTATAAATAGATTTACTGATTATTTATTCTTTCTTTTTAATTCAATTAATTATCAGATTAGTGAAAGGTTTTTCATGTCAGTTTATAATAAGGTCAAAAAAACTAGCTTATCATTTATGTAACTTGTTATCAGTGATTCAATTTCAATGGTCAAGATCATGAATCAGTTGAAGGTAGACCACCATGAAAAACCTGGAAGCGCTGGACGGCCATCCCGTTTGATAGATAATATAATACAATTAAACACAATTGAAGGAAAATATGGTATTCACTAATTGACACCTTGTATTTAAGTAATATATTTTATTCTAAAATCAGTTAGTGTTCAAAAGAATTTCTTGAAGAGTAGAATAAGATTTCGTTTTGATAACATCCAATATAATCTAATAGTTAGATCATCTTATCATCTGATTGGTACCGTATCTATTATCTTCATTTATTACAGATGGAAAACAATTTCCATAAAGAAGTTAATGTGTTGAGTTCATTTTTTCTTTATAAATCTAATTGATCAACAAATGAAATTAAAGATGATTTCAACAACTAAAAAATATATTCAATAAGATAAATGATCACTTTGAAGTGATCTTGAAGTGTACACTACTTATCTGTAACAGATATAAGTAGTATGTAGCAAGAATTGAAAGTAGAATGTTTATCAGAAGAAGACTGAAATAAAGTGAAGAGGAAGAATAATGAAGAGCAGCCAGAATAACAACGGGATCGGAAGAATGAATATATATGTAAAGGACAACTAATGAAAGTTATACGAATAATTTATTTAATGTATGATACAATGGTACAATCGTTTACCGTACCTAAATCTTTTTTCACTACAGTCCTATCACTTACATGTTGATTAGCTTAATCACTTCATTCACTGGTTGGAATTCAGTTCATTTTAGGATTATTATAATTATTTATTAAACTAACTCCAGTAAAATAATTTACACATCAGTCATTTTAAATACTTAAGTCCTGACAGCTTTTGGGTTTCCTATCAGTCAGTCAGTCAGTCAGCTACAACGTAGGACCAGGCACATATGTGCATCGGTCCAGGTTGCCATACCGCATCAGCACAACAAGATGAACACCGGATTCATAGCAGTGGTTAGGTCAAAGGTGGTAATATATAAGAGAAATATTGCATATAGAGATATAGTACAAGAAGAAAAAATTGGTTTGTAGAAAGAAAGATATGAAGTGATTTTAGTCTCTTAGTTTAAGGGAAGACAGGGAGTTTATACACCGACGCCATTGTGATCGATTCTGAGCCATGTCACCAAGAGTCTCCAACCATTGGTTACGATAGTCACGCGGACCCCATCCAAGTAGTCTGCATCTACCAACATGGCTCAGACTAGAAGTTAGTGACTTCAAGCACTGATGCCACGTTTTGGTTTGGCCTCCCCTAACTTTCTTCCAATCATCTACAATACCGGATAGCATTGCACGTCGTGGTAATCGGTATTCAGGCATACGAAACACGTGGCCCAACCATCTCAGTCGATGAAGATTCATAACCTCATCAACTGATTTACCATCAATTCCTAACACCGTGCGTCTAACCTCACTATTACTTGCCTGATGATCTCAGAAGATGCCAGGAATATTTCTAAGGCATCTGTGGTCAAATACTAGTAGCTTACGAGTGTTTCGCTGCCGTAAATTAAAACAGAACGGATTACTACATCTTTGTTATCAACAAAATGATTACTTCAGTACTTCTGTTGTTTCTTGATAACTTTTGTCAATCTTCTTAATTTGTTTATTCTATTAACAATCTGCACACCTTCCTTGTGACTACCCACATCATGGTCTTTTTTATTGACTTTGTTTATATGCATCAGTTCAATTTATATTGTAGTGGACGAAGATTTAGGTACGGTAAACCATAGTATCATTTTATGAAAAATCAAACAGTGAGTTTATGAAACATGAAAATCATACATCAAATACATTATTCGCATAACTTTCGTTAGTTATTCTATACCAACTTCATCATTCTCCTCATTTCGTTGTTATTCTGATTGCTTTTCATTTTTCTTCCTCTTCACTTTATTTCAGTCTTTGTCTGATAAACACTATTTTCAATTCTTGCTACATACTACTTATATCCGTCCGCATAAGTAGTGCATGACACAGTAAGACAAATTACTTTTTTTTCTGAAACTGATCGTATAAATAAAAACCTTACGACACACACGCAAAAAGTTAAACGAATTGACATTTGTTTCATAATTTAGTTTTGCTTCAAAAAGTAAATCATCAAAAACAGTAAACTGTAAATGGTAATGTTTAAGAATAAATATGAATTTACTTGCTACTTGTAACTTTCTAACAGGTAATTGACATAAATTATCCAATACTATTGATACACATACAGATTCATCGTGATAATACAACTGAAAGAGATAATAAAACAATTAATTTGAACGTTATTGAACGTTGAATGGTATTTGTCAATGTTTATCCAAGATACATGCTTATATGCGTATATATAACACTAGATTTTTAATTAAACATGTAATCCCTGTAAATCAGTGGTTGAATCAAGCATCGGTTTTGCATATTTCCAAACTAAATCTTTGATAATCATAGTAGCTAAATCCTTTTAATCTTTCAATAGTTGGAATCATGAGTCCATTGAAGCTAGAGCATCATGGAAAAACTGGAAACACCGGACGGCCATTTCGTCCTAGTATGGAACTCTTCAGTAATGCGCATACACGATCCCGCCCCCCCCCACGAGATTCAAACCCAGGACCTATCAGTCTTTTTTCTAAATGAATGAATTATTAGCATTAAAAGCAATCGACCTAATTGTTCATGGCAAATTATATCAATCTCTGTTTAATAATTAGTTACAAAAACTAAGCTGGACAGTGATTGCGGTTATTCATTTTTTTATTATTTCTTTGAATCTCCTCATTGATGTTTAAGACTGTAATTGAACAGTCTGTTATTGGCATACGTGCATCTAGTGCAGATTGCACGATATTGCCTTAATTTACAAGCATTCTAACCATAGATGGATAGTGGCTATCTAGACTCAGTAGCTTAGTGGATAACGTGATAGCATTGTGGAATTGTGGAGTGAACATCAAGTCTGAGATACAGGTTCATCCGGCTGACGATTCTCAAATATGATGAAACGTGCGTCGCGGATTTCACTACTAGCCACAATCCATCTTTAAATATTACGGTGTTATTTCTCTGAAGTTACTGTTGGACATACCTTACAATTCATATTATTTAAACAAATGTATTATATCATTTCATGCTTATTATACAACGGATGACGTATTTAAACAATTTCCATTATAAAAAACTTCTTAACCTCTTTATGATAGAATTCATTTATAAATGAGTAGTTTAGAAGAGGTCTTAATCTCTTTTACACAGTTGGTTAGCCATAAACTACATTGACACAAGGTAGATAAATATATTTGCATTTATAAGTTTAGGGGTTGTGAAGATTGTTAAGTTTTTGATCGAAATCATGAGTCAGTTGAAGCTAGACCACCATGGAAAACCTGGAAGCACTGGACAGCCGTTTCGTCCTACTATGGGACTCCTCAGCAGTACGCATCTACGGTCCCACACCCCGCGAGATTCGAACCCAGGACCTATCAGTCTCGCGCCAGGCGCATTTGTTTAAGTTACTATACTACATCAAAACAGTCTGAGCATAGAGAGCATAGAGAATCTAACTCTAGAAGAGTAAAGGAACTGGCCGAAATAAAGGTATCACTAAATTTTGTAACACAGACATAGACTTTCAAAAACACAGTACCACTCTTATTTGAAACTAAAAAGCAGTTCGCTACAATGAATTCACAAATAAAATTGAACAAACAAATTTTTAGTTCGTCAAAAACTTTACAACTTGAGTAGAAATCTATTGATCAATATTTTTCAATTCTAGTTAGTTTGGATATTACATAATTTCCTTTCAATATAATAGGTGAGTTCTTGTCTTGATCCAGATAAGAGTTAGATTCTACCAATCATGAATTTGACTTGGATATTTGGAAATCCATTATCAGACTTGTAAATGATGAGTAAAAAGTTATGATTTGATCATATGATTTTCTATATATTATTCTACATAGTTTTCAAATTTTTTTCATGACAAAATAACATCATTAAGGATATCTGTTTACTTTGTCAATGATTGGAAGCTGAGAAAAGTATACATTAGTTACTGACTAAGTGGTAAAAACTCATTGATTTGGTATCTAAGCTTTGATATCTAATTCACAAACCATTCCATGTATGAAACATGTTCTTACATAAAAGCTTCTTGTAAAAGTTGACTACTTCAACTATGGTTAATACTATCAAACTAAAAATATAGTGAGTGGACAATTTACAATGTTATAGATGATGGTAAACTATTATGTTATAAGCAGAGATAGATAGTGGCTAGCAGCGGAATTCTGGATGCGCGTTCCGTCCTATTCCTTTCTCGTCAGCTGGATGTATCTGTATCTCAGAGTTGATGTTTACTCTGGGACTCGAACCTAGTACCATTCACTTCAAACGCCATCACGTTATCCACTCAGCTATTGAGTTCTCATAGCCACTTGCTTGTACAATGGGGTGAATTCGAATTCACTTGATATTGTCTTTTACTTGTATCTTCCCATTGAGGTTTAACACTGCAATTGATCAGTCTGTTATTGGCATATGTGCATACTGTGCGTATGCCTCGATATTGCCTGAATTCACAAGCTATTTGTAAGCAATGATGGATAGTGGCTAGCAGTGGAATCCAGTTTGACGCGCGTTTCGTCCTATTTGGGACTCGTCAGCTGGATGTACCTGCATCTCAGAGGACATTTCATAGGACGAAACGCACATCTTGGATTCCACTGCTATCCACTATCCATCTTTACTTGTAAAAGCTTGTGAATTAAGACAATATCAAGGCATACAAACAGTATGCACATATGCCAATAACAGACTGGTCCATTGTAGTCTTAAACCTCAATGGGAAGATACAAGCAAAACAGTAACAAGTTTATTATGTTATAATGCTATATCTTACTAAGTAATCATTGGTGCAAAGAGAAAAAAATATGTATAAGTGATAGTGTATAAGCGTTTTTTATGTGAAAAAAACAGGTATAAACTAAGAATCCATTCAAAGATCACCAATATGTAGACTTTGAATATCAAATGTTCATTCACGATAATATACATGACTATGTTGAGTAATCGGCGTTACAGTGTGTAGTTATATATTTCTCATTGTATGCTCCATTGAATATGTTCCTTAATTCGAAACTCATCAATCTACTATTTCTTAAAGATGTTTACATATTTAAAATGTGATAGTTATGCTTTAAATAAGTGTATCTCATTTACAATTGAATAAGAATGTAGAAATTAGTGAATACTAACATGTAGTTATACAAAATATTCGTGTTCGATAAAAAAAAACTACAGTTTACTAATCCAGTAACGCTATGTGTAAACTAACAAATGTTCTGATAAACCAGATGTTATATAACTAAAGATGGAAAAACAAAGGAAGAAAATTTTTAAAAAAATTAAATGATCAACTAATGATAAATTCATGACGAAAAACTCTTAGTGCCACCCAGTGAAATGTACTGAATATAGAAACTGTTTATATAATCTCGTTATTCATTCTTTAGGCTAAAAAATAAATCTATATCTGACAATATATCTTGTAATCAATCAACTTTTCATATTACCAAATATGACATACACAATTTGAAATGGATAATGTTTTGTACTCATAACAAATACAGTAGGCTCAATTCACTGAATTCGTTGCTAGGCATTTTTAAATTCAGTCACTTTGTGATACTGCCTCAAAATTGAATGATTTTATCGATAACCTATACTGATAATTACCATGTGCTCACTAGTGACTAGCTTCGTGAGGGAATTCTTGGAGTTCTAGTGAGAAGTCGTGACTAGTGGAGCTAATCCGTCTAGGGTAAAGACAGGTATTTACGTTGGTACAATGGAAGATGGTCGCGCAATTTCGTGGATTGCTTGAGGTTAGATATTAACACCATTAGATGCCGGGTCAGTGGTCTAGTAGGTTAAGCGTTCGCGCGCGATAGTGAAAACCCTGGGTTCGAATCCTGCGGGCGGGATCATAGATACGCACTGCTGAGGAGTCTCACATTAGGACGAAACGGCCGCCTAATGCTTTCAGATTTTCCGTGGTGGTCTAGCTTCGAATAACTCATGATCTCATCATTAATCGATTCATGATCTTATTCATAAAACATCATTTTCGGCTGTATTCTAATATAAAAGTATAATTCCTAGTTGAGTTATATGGCAGTTTCAAACATTTTTCAGAATACATTAGTAGTATGGAGTTTATCATCACTTAAAACTAATAGAGTTATTTGCCTGCTTTTTTTTCCTGAGCGAATAAACACCAATCAGTAGTAGGGAATGCATCATGATTGAAAATGATAATAAACGATATTGAATCAATTAACATTGTTTCAATTATTATCACTACTGCAAGATCCAATGAATATGAATAAGTTGACATAGTAATGTTAATCAAAGTTTAAAAAAATGAAGTACAGAAAATCTAGCTCACAAACTGAAAGTATAAAACTGAAGAATGATAAAACAAACAAAATTATTGCCAGTTGATCGATCACTAGATGGTGATTAATGTCATGTGTGTCAAGTCCTTCGTGCAAATCGAGTGCTATCGGCCATGTTGCAATGTGGCCAACAGTCTAGGTCACTCGACACTGCGTACACTATATATTGAGATTAGATGGTGGTTGAAGGTGATCAACAGGAAACCGTGGACCCGGGTTTCGTGCTACTTGGCACTCGTCAGCAAGGTGTACCTGTAATCTTGAGGGAACTGGTACTCCCAGACGGTTTTGATCCCATATCACCCAGCTTCACAGTCAGAGACGTTACCACTGAGCTATTCGGGCGTTCGATCTGCACTAAGAAAGACTTGACACAAATGACATTGATCACCACCCAGTGATCAATCGATTGTGATTACATTTCAGTCCTACAGGAGGTTGGTCGCGGCCCGGATGTAAAATTACAAAACACTACCTAGTTTTCAGATTGTTTCAAAACATTTCAAGTTGATTATAAGATCATATTAGTTTTGTAATAGATATCCGATAAGCAGTAACCAGATTTGAGATGAACTTATCGTCTTGTAGATTCGAATAAGTATCAATTGAATTTATTGTTTGTAGTCAACATTGGATAAGGATTAGGCTAATTAACTGACTGAGGTTGAATAAACAGAATACAACTAGATAGATTGATAGTAGCACATGTATCACAAGTCTTTGACAATTTTGAATATCAAGCTATATGTAGTATACTATTAGTGAAAATGTAATTCAGCCATTGAGCATTGATAACGTGTCAATAATTGTCTTATATAAATCATTAAAATGACTATCTTTATGAAGTCTTTAGTATGAATTGTGTATAAGCCCGATTACTTCATTACGCATAAATATTAAATAATCATTTGTCTACGCAACAGTAAACACAGTTTATTCAATTTGTAAATATTATTATTTTATCGATTGAACTCACGGGTCAATCTAAGTTAGACTACCAACGAAAATCTTGAAGTAATGGATAAGCGTTTCATCTTAGTATGGAACATTTACGATCCCGAAAGTGAAATACAAACCAAAAGCTTTTAGTCTCCTATGCGAATGCCTAGCCTTTAAACCACTGAGTTCGAGTACCGTCATTGAGATAGTGGTTGTTCACTGCTGTAGAATCCCATACTAGGACGAAACGGCTATCCAGCTCTTTAAACTATTCAATGGTAGTCTAACTTAAATTGACTCATAAATTCAACTCATGAAAATACTACAGTCACCACAAATGTCTATATTGCAAAATATTCATATTTTAATAAGATTATAGCAAGAAAAGAAATACTGTTAATCAAAATTACCGGTTTTTCAATAGACGCTTGAATAAATAATTCACCATTGTGACATGGTAAATTAATAGATTTTTTAATCGATTCAATAATAGGTTCTAAAGGACGATGTGTTATTTTTGGTCCAGCAGTCAATTTTCTTAAAACAATTGTTACTGTTGAACTAAAGTAAAGAGAAAATAAAATAAAATGACTATTCTTTATTCAATAAGTTAAATGTTTATCGAAATATTATTAGTTATCAGAAGCGGTTTATGGAGATTTTAGAAATTTCACAGATTGAAATCATGAGTCAATTGAAGCTAGACCATCATGGAAAACCTGAAAGCACTGGACGGCCGTTTTGTCCTAGTATGGGACTCCTGAGTAGTGCGCATCCACGATCCCGCATCTCGCGAGATTCGAACCCAGGATCCATACTAGGGCGAAACGGCCGTCCAGTGCTTCCAGGTTTTCCATGTTGGTCTAGCTTCAATTGACTCATGATTTCAATCTGTGACATTATTAATTAATCATTGAAATAATGTTCAACTGTGTTTGATCTATCTGTAGTCTTAGTTTGATATATATTAACATAAATGTTTGAAATAATCGGTACTATGGTATTGTAAAATAGTTCGAAAGCAAAGTTTCAATGGATCGTCGCGTCACAAAATAACCAGTGAAAAAATTTAAAATATATTATATTACAATTATTTGATTCAACTCAATCATGCATCGATGTATTGTTCAAAAGAGCTTATAAAATAAACAGCTTGTTTCTTACATCCAATCTTAACAGATAATAAAACTAAATTAACCCCTTCTGATATTGATCAATATATGCTCACTGGTGAATGACTTCAAAAGATATTTCCTAGAGTTCTAGTGAGAAGTAGTAACCAGTGGAATTCAACCGGGTCCATGGTGGGATAGTAATTTACTGAGGACAGTGGTGGACGGTGGCTCAATTTCGTGGATTGGTTGAAGTTAGACATAAACACCGTTGGATGCCGACTCAGTGGTCTGAAAGTTCAGCGTTCGCGCGCGATACCCATAGGTCCTGAGTCCGAATCTCGCATGGCGGGATCGTGAATATGCACTGCTGAGGAGTCTCACAATAAAACGAAACGGCCGTCCAGTGCTTCCTGGTTCCCCACGGTGGTCTAGTTTTCATTGACTCATGATCTCAACCACTGAAGTTATTGTTTTTTAAAGGGGTAAATCGAAGATTTAAGAAAATACAAACACACATATATATTGAATGTTGACAAATTTCATTGAATTAACAAACAGTGGCTTATTTCTGATAAGTTAAACAGTTGATCACAGTAGATGTAAAGCTATTGAATTATTAAATCCCTCGTCTTCAGACTGTTATAATTGATAGAATGATTAATGTGTTTCAGATGATATAACATAAGCTTGAATTCACGCTTGACTACCATAATTTGTAAAGTTATGCATATTTCACGGAATATATATGTTACAATTACTTTTAAATGTTTTAGCAGGTTCAAGGTATGTTTCAGATCATTTTAATCAAAATCATACATTCATTATTATTAGGCAGGCAAATATTATCAGAATAAGCTGCTTTGTGAAGCCTTTCAAATTTTTTAACAAAAGGATACTGAATACATAGGCAGTAAACGGATTCTCTGAATGGTGGTTTTTCAAGGTCATTTGCAAAACAAATAGTTCATTCATAGTGTTTTTTATTGTAGAAGAAAGAATAGTGTACGTATACAAGTCATTCATGAGATTTCCAAAAGTATTTTAAAAATAGGAATAATGGCGAGACTATAATTTATGGATGAACCAATCACGTATAAGATAACAGATAACGGATTTTGGCACGAAATTCACTCGTCCATTTGGCTTAATAGAGTTTTGGCATTATCCCTGATGTTAGTTCGTGATTAAAACACTAAATCTAATTCCTAATCATAATTCCTCACACTAATTTATAACCCTCATTTGATCCTGCTTATTAAGTGGACACTCTCAAAGTCAGTCTAGCATCGCTCAAAGGTCATCCATAAATTACACTCTCATCGGAATAATTTGTCTGTGAATAAAGATTGATTTACTGATTAATAAAAACAATCATTGAAACGTATCTAACAGTAAAATTCTTGTTTTTGCATGTATCTAACATTACAAATTTGCAAACGGTCATAAAGGTATATTACTGAGGAAAACACAGATTGAAAGTATTTTAAAAACAAAAGATGGTAAATTATCAACGATAGATCAATTCGAGAAGAACTACAATAATTACCATTGAGAATGGTTGTAATAGATATTTATTACTGAACAGGAATGGAATGATTATTATTGTATAATTTGGTAAGAGCATCTAAGTAGTTTACTTTAACAACGACGAGTACATTCGACTGAATCCATCGAACCGCTTACATTACTCTTTTTCTTTAGTGCTCATTTAATTTGGTGACAAGATCATCTTATATTATTTGATTCAAAATAGTTTTAGTAATGCAAATGATTGACTTACTATAAGTCACTGAATACAATAGTGTGTTACAGTGTACATTGTAAACTGAATAGAATAATTCAGACAAGATTTTAATAAATAAATGATGAACCGGTCTATACTATTAAAGAAGTATATATTTGTAAAATCTCAGCGAATGAATTTGGATTAAATCCAATGTTTCACCTAGCAATATGATCCAAGCTTTTTCAAGGAAATTTAATCAAGCATCAAAATTATGCTTGATTAAATTTCCTTGAAAAAAACTTGGACCAAATTACTAGGCGAAATGTTGGATTTATTTCAAATTCATTCTCTGAAGTTTTAGAAATACATTCTTCTTGTTTATTGTCTCACATCAACTCGGCACCCAAATACTGTGAAATTATTCGATCGTATTTAGACTAAATTACTTATATAAGGTGCATACTATTTTCCAATAAATTATATGTAGTGAAAATATGTGGAAATCAATAAAAAGAATTGAAACAAACTAAACCGACACTAATTTTACAAACAACCCATCTATAAGATGGTAATTAGAATACAGGCTAGCAGTGATATTTTCAATAGACGTTTCATCAAAAATTCTATGTAACTACATATCCTAACAGTAGTATTATCCATTAAGTATCGTTTTTAATGTAATCGTATGAATTAAGAGATATATACTAAAGAGAAAGGAAAATAACCACTTTCATTAATAAAACATATTTCAGAAGTTAGGATCATGAGTCAAATGAAGCTAGACTACCATGGAAAACCTGGAAGCACTGGACAGCCGTTTCGTTCTATTGTGAAACTCCTCGACAGTGCGCATCCACGACCCCATTTCGTGTGATCCGAACCCAGGACCTATAGGTTTCGCTCAAGTGAACGCTTAACCTCTAGACCACTGTTCATTTAGTCGAATCTCCTTGTACATTGGGATGACATCATCTGAAAATATATTTTATTCTATGAAGAACTACACAATATTCTTATATCTTTTCAGCTAATGATTATTAAAGTTTTCCAAAGAATATTTCGACTTTTATTTTGTCGAACTTATTTTGAAGTTATTTGATTACATAATTTAATTTGCTTAACAGTAATGCTGTTGTGTATTGTCAGTAAAATCTAAACTCTGACAGTATAAATCACATTGTAAGTGATCGTATAAACATGAGTAACTATTAATAACCGTGCAATTTTGTTTTGGACATATTATATTGAACGAGAACACAAAAGTTGGGACAACCAATACACAAAACCCCCTAGTAAGATCTGACCACTATATAATAAATACTTTCATTTGCATAATATCCATCAATTGTCTTAAACTTTGTTGTTCCTTTGTTACCGTACCAAATAACCTCTGTTCTCGTTCTCTTCTCTTCCATCATTTTAACGTTGTACCGCTAAGGATTCCACTTTCGATTGGTGATACATACTACTTATATCTATCAACATCAATAGCACACACCACAGTATATGCAAACTGACGTTATAGACATTTTATATATCTTTAATTTTAATTGATAAAATAAATGGTATATTTTAGTGAAGGCTAATTACTTTATAACTTTGTTCGTTTAGGAGTCTGGTTATTGTATATTCCATGTTTAGCGATAGAAAAATATTAGACAATTCTTTTTTGTCATAAATTCACTCGTTACATATAGATAGACTTGAAGAAACATGACAAAACATTCTTAGTATCATTTGAATCTTGACTGGTTACATTTATATTCAACCGTATTATACCTTAAGTAAAAGAAGTAATTAGGCGAATAATGAGTTTACAGTAATGAAAGTTTGTCAGTAATATATAGTAAAATGAAGATGGCTAAAATTATTTCGTATTGTCAGTAGACTAGTAAAAACAATAGCTACGTGGATAACGTGATGACGTTTGAAGTGGATAGCACTGGCTTCGAATCGTGGAGTGAATATCAACTTTGAGATGTAGGTACATTTAGCTGATGAGTCCCAAATAGAACAAAACGCACATCCTGCATTCCACTGCTAGCTATCATCCATCTTTGCTTAGAAAGTTTGTGACTTAAGACAATATAAAAACAATCCGAACAGGATGTACATATACCAATAAGAAACTGATCATTTTCAATCCTAAACATCACTGGAAAATTTCAAACAAACATTACTAGTTGAATTCAATCTACGTTTTGTTATAAAATATAATATTGAGAATTTATTTTCTAGGGTGAAAATAATAATAGAATTTTAGATATCAAACATAACTTACCTTGCTGGTTGATTGTCATCGATTCGTTTACCAATAAATGCGGTCAGTTCATAATTAATACCATAAGGCTAATAATAAATAAAATAAAATTGTGTATATTGAATATTTTTTTACTTAGTAATATGATATAATTTGGTGAGAATACAGTTTGAGTGACACTAGACTGACCTAAAGAGTGTCCACCTGATAAATAGGACAAAATGAGGGTTATAAACCTGTATGAGGAATTCGAATTATGATTTACAGTTGATAGTTAATGTTAGGAATTAGATTTAGTGTTTTCATCACGAACTAACATCAGGGATAATGCCAAAACTCTATTAAGCCAAATGGACGAGTGAATTTCGTGCCAAAATCCGTTACCTGTTATCTTATACGTGATTGGTTCGTCCATGAGTTATAGTCTCGCCAATAATTTGAATATTGCACAAGATAACGACAATTTTACCATAATAAAGTCTGTTAAAATTGAACTGTTTCATGGCAAAACTTGATTCGATCATTAAAACTATACAAATGAGTTCTAAATGACATTCGATTGATAAGTTGTATACAAGTTAGTGATTATTTTGTTAGAAATATAAAGTGTATGATTTATGTTCAAATAGAATTTCTATCGGTGGACTCTAGCTGACTATATAAGTTTTGAATTTTATTAGTAGTTACTTACTTACTTACACCTGTTACTCCTAATGGAGCATAGGACGCCGACCAGTATTCTCCAACCCATTCTGTCCTGGGCCCTTCTTTCCATTTCTATCCAATTTTCGTTCATTCTTCTGATATCTGTCTCCGTTTCTCGACGTAATGTGTTCTTTGGTCTTCCTCTTCTCCTTTAGCCTTGACGATTCCATGCGAGGGCTTGTCTTGTGACGCAGTTGGGTGCTTTCCTCAATGTGTGTCCTATCCATTTTCATCGCTTCTTCCTGATTCGTTCCTCCGCTGAAATGTGGTTTGTTCTCCCTCACAGTAGATTGTTGTTGATAGTGTCTGGCCAACGAATCTGAAATATTTTGCGTAGACATCTGTTAATAAACACTTGTATTTTCTGGACGATGACTTTCGTAGTTCTCCAAGTTTCCGCTTCATACAGTAGAACTGTCTTGACATTCGTATTGAAAATTCTGACCTTGGTGTTGGTGGACTTTTGGTTTGAGTTCCAGATGTTCTTCAATTGTAAATATGCTACTCTTGCTTTGCCGATTTGCGCATCACATCTGCATCAGATCCACCGTGTTCATCAGTGATGTTGCTCAGATATGTAAGGGTTTTTACATTTTTTCCAAATCTTCTTTGTCAAGTGTGATTCGATTGTTGCATGTTGTGTTTCATCGAAATATCTTGCTTTTCCCTTTGTGTATGTTGAGACCTACTGCTGCTGAGGCTGTGGCTACACTGGTCGTCTTCTGGATTTGTTGTTGTGTGTGCGATAGAAGAGCCAAATGATCTGAGAAGTCTAAATCCTCCAGCTGCATCCCATCTGTCCACTGTATCACATTCTTCATAATCCAGTCGATCACCAGAAGAAAAAGAAAAGGTGAGAGCAAGCAACCTTGTCTAACACCGGTCTTTACGTCGAACGAGTCTGTCAATTGTCCTCTTTATTAGGAGTAATAAATCAAAAACCTAGAAAGAAAACTTTTGCATGATATTTAATAAGGAACCTGTAATGTCTATAAGATACCAAATATTTGTTTTCCCTATTTTAACATCCTAAATGTTTGAGTGATATACATCAAGGAAAAAAATCCTTACTGTTTAATTAATTAACTGTGACATGTGAAGATTAAAAAAAATATTGAAGTAAGCTAGCTGTTATACATTGAGTGTAATTCCTCAATCAAGGGCCTTTTTTTGCAAATCCTCATGTATATCTTAAATGATATATTTTTCATGATCAAATAATAAATGTATAGTACTTCTTGACATTGAATGGTACTTCAATTTTTTTTGTGATCAGTTCATAAAAATCATCTATAAGAAATCAAGGAAACTATCAAAGTAAATGTGAAGTACTTTAAAGATTAAATAAGGACTATTTGTCAAAAAATATATATCAAGATTTATAATTGACTGTACCGATGAACGATATTATAATTAGCTTAAATTATAAAGCTGAAAACTGGATTGTATCATACACATTATATAAATAATAAAACAATTAGACCGTCATCAGGCTTTATTCTAATAAACATGAATATTTATACGAAAATGTTAAACCAATCAAGGCAATATATGGGTCAATAATCACAATGAAATAGAATAAGTCACCACATATAATAGGTAAAAGTACAAGTTGATAGTAAGAAGACAAGTGTACTGAAAGTAGTAAGAATAATAAAATACGATGACAAAAGTCTTATCAATAGTTAAACGTTGGAAATAGAAGGTCAGACATGGATAAATAGACTTGGAATAGTCAACACAAAACATTAAAATCATTACGTAATAAGAGGTATATAAATAATTAGATAGTGAAGAATACAAAAGGAAAGAGGTGGAAAATTACAAACAAATACTAGATGTGAAAATAAGGCTAATGATAATAAAAATAAAATAAAACAAATAATAATAATTTTAAAAAAATCGTTAGTTAAGTTATAACTGACCATGGGAGGGATAGGGGGGTTACGAATTTCTTCTGTACACATAAATTGGGGTTATATGTACAAATTCCTATGGCTTCAGCTATATGTAGGAGGTGGGAACGAACTCCATTGAAAAATGATGGAGGTATACGATAGATCACTCTAAATGATTTCGATTTATCTACAGCATGACCGCTATCAATGTGATATGCCAAGATATACATAACAGTATTTATACAATATCATTTAATGCCTATATTGTTGTATAGTAATCAACAGGATTGACTAATACCTTTGTTATAAGAATATATACAGTAAATTATATTCATATTAAGATGTTAAAAAAAAACACAAGTTGAATGAAGAAATATTCTTCTTCAATTAGTTCCTTATCAAAACTCTGAATAAATTAAGAATTTCATTCACTTAATGTTTCCTTGTTAGGTCTATAGATATTACTTAATTGATTAGTGATATGAATTCGTTACAAACTTTCTCAATATTTTCAATATATTTAATCAGCTTTGATTTAGAATATCATCTTATGTAATTTGTCATTCTTCTTAATAATATAATAGTTTAGTTTTCATGACAGTCATTTTATTAATTACATATTATTACTACTAGAAAAAATATGAATATTGGATTACTTAACTTCAAACTTAGTCAATCTATTATATGTGAAAATTATATTTGAAATAATCTCAGCGATTGAGATTTCAATAATTCCAATGTTTTGTCCAGCTAACTTGTCTGGACTTCTTCAGGGTAATAATCAAAATCATCAAAGAAATATATAACTTCTATTTACTTGGCGCCCGATTTCTGTCAAGCTATTCGTTCTAATCTTGACGAATATTCGTATAAAATAAGTGAATCCATGCTGTTATGTAATGAATCTTTTATAATTGACCGATTATATAATATTGTTTTTAGACCGAATTTCACATTAGATGAACTTCTAAATGATTTTAGAGGAAAGATTGTAAACTTAGTAGTTGAATTCATGAGTCAATTGAAGCTAGACCACCATGGAAAACCTGGAAGCACTGGATGGCCATTTCATCCCATTATGGGACTCATCAGTATAGCACATCCAAGATCCTACCCGCGGGGTTCGAATAAATCATGGAGGCTCACTGTTAAGAAGATTCATAGCAGTATGAAACAACTGTTGAAATTACTACAATCTTCACAAAACCCCTTCTGATACTAATCAACATATGCTCACTAGTGACTGGCTTCAAGAGGTATATACTGGAGTTCTAGTGAGAAGCAGTGACCAGTGGAGTTCAACCGGGTCAGTTGTAAGATAGGAATTCACTGAAGACAATGATGGATATGTCGCTCAATTTCGTGGATTAGTTGAACTTAGACATTAACACCGTTGGATGCCGGCTCACTAGTCTAGTTGGTTAAGCGCCTGGTGCGAGATTGACAGGTCCTGAGTTCGAATCCCGCGAGGTGGGGTCGTGGATGAGCACTGCTGAGGAGTCTTACAATAGAACGAAACGGCCGTCCAGTGCTTCCAGGTTTTCCATGGTGGTCTAGCTTCAATTGACTCATGAACTCAACTGTTCAAATAAAATAATATAATATCCACTAATTCCCGTTTCTGAATAAAATATTATAAAGTCGACGAAGTACCATTTGTTTAGTGTTAATTTTATTCGTCCAACTTATGGCTTTAATTGCATTCTTATAAAATTTATTCATCATACATAAGAAACATTGATTAAAACAAAAAAAATTGAATAACTTCTGCTATTCTTATTAATTTTGCGGAAAAAAAATTAAAACCGGTTCAAATCTTCCCAATATGGATGTCAATGACTGTGATTAGTCAGTCCCCAACTGGAATATGTATATTCTGTACTAATTACCTGGATATTGTTATTTAGTTAGAGGTACGTTTATTCAAATCCTAGATTCCATTGCTAAATACCATCACACTTTACTGAAAATATTTAACACGGAATGATACAATCATGACAATAAGCTCAAAATAAACAAAAACACCAGTAGAGACTGATTCATAGTAGTCCTAATTCATCAACAACAGGAAGACTCAACCACACAGAGTTAATATATATCTATCCTATTTGAACAAATGAATGTCTATATGAACTCAGCAACCCAATAACTAACGCGCTGGGAGTTCAGACCAAGTCCCGAAGAATACATCAATACAAAGATATAAATAGCACTTTAAATATTCATGTGTACACTTTATATATTGATTATATATCATAGTTGTATAATTCAATTTCCATTATAATTATTAAAATAACTAATTAAAGCATATGGATGGATTTAGTTTAGACAAAATATAATTACATCTATGATAACGAGAGATTTATACAAACAAAGGGATTACATTATTACTTTTTATTTTTCTTAACTCTTAATTATCTTTAATTCACACACACACAAAATAGTTAATAACGGAAAGAAAAACAACAGAGTGATTCTTAATTAAT